TAATTTTTGTATTTTTAGTAGAGACAGGGATTCACCATGTTGGCCAGGCTGGTCTTGAACTCCTGACCTCAGGTGATCTGCCCACCTCAGCCTCCCAAAGTGCTGGGATTACAGGCATCAGTCACCATGCCCGGCCGAGATCTGGTATGTTTGTGGGTGGAGGGAGAGTGGAGGCTGCGATGGGGCCTGAGCCAGAGGTTGCGGGGTGGGACCTTGCCTGCAGAAGCTGCTGGTTGCTCTGGTTGATGAGCAGGGTGTGGAGCCAGACGCTGTCTCCCTTCAGCTTGAGGAGCCGGTTGTGGCTCTGCTGTATGGAGCTGCTCAGCTTCTCCAGGGCGGCTGCCTCCTCCTTCTCCATGAAATCCAAGATCCTCACCTGCAGCTGTTTGACCTCCTGGATGATCTCCGAGAAGCAGGTGTTCACCTCATCTCTCATTGTCTGGATCAGTTTCTGGGGATTGGGGCGTATGTAGAGAGTCGTCTGTGAGTTCCAGTCCAGCACCCCCACTGTCACAGCCCGGAGCCTGCCTAGGCATCCTGTCTCTGCCTGCCCAGTCCCACGTCAACCACTCCAAGTCCTAAGAGGTCTCTGCAGCCCAGTGCAGGGCCTGGGGAAGTCTGGGCCTTGGGTGGGGCGGGCCAACCTTACCGAGAGAAAGGCCACCCGGCCCTGGTGCTTCCAGCTGTCAGCAGTGATGATCAGCATCTGGTTCTCCATAGTGTCCTGGACATTTTGAACCTGGACCTCGGGTGGGGAGTAGGGGGGAGAGGTAGGTGGGAGAGGAGGAGGGTCCTCTGATTTAGAGAGGTGGCCTTGGAGAAGCCCTTCTGCAGATAGGCCCATGTCTGAGCCCAGAAGAGACATACCTTGTGCATTCATCTGCTCAGCTTCAGTGACAATGAGAGAGCAGTGCTGGATGGCCCATGGTCCAAACCTCTGCTTGGAGGGCTGCTCTCGCTCTCTGAACGCCTGTCTCTATTTGAAGGAATCAGGTTATTTGCTCCTAACAGTGATGACCATAGAGTTTCAGGCCACAGGAAAGGGTCTTGGAGAGCTTGGGAGGTGGTGGGGCAGGAGGGGCTTAGCAGGTACACAGCCATGTGGGCTCCCTGGGGCAGTGCTGCCAGGCCCAAGTCCCACATAAGCCTTTAGTCTCCACCTATCCCAGCATTTTTCACTGTTATAAAATAGTGCGATTCCAAGTGCTGTCCATGAACCACTGCTGGTCCTTAGCAAAGTAAGAAGCTCATGCAAGGTTGTAAATCAGGGTAATCAATGTAGTCTGTCCTTCACTGACAAGTCTTTTTTTTTTTTTTTTTAAATCAGAGTCTAAATTTGTCTCCCAGGCTGGAGCACAGTGGTGCAATCTCAGCTCACCGAAACCTCCGCCTCCCCGGCTCAAGCCATCTTTCCACCTCAGCCTCCTGACCATCACACCAGGCTAATTTTTCTACTTTTTGTAGAGATGGAGTCTTGCCATGTTGCCCAGGCTGGTCTCAAACTCCTGAGCTCAAGTGATTTTCCTGCCTTGGCCTCCCAAAGTGCTGGGATTACAGGAGTGAGTCACCACGCCCAGCTGTTTTACAAAATCTTGCAATGTAAAAAGTATTGGCTGGGGCCGGCCAATCCCAGCACTTTGGGAGCCTGAGGCCAGTGGATCACGAGGGTAGAAGTTTGAGACCAGCCTGGCCAACACGGTGAAACCCTGTCTCTATTAAAAATACAAAAATTAGCCAGGCATGGTGGCGAATGCCTACAGTCCCAGCTACTTGGAGGCTAAGGCAGGAGAATCGCTTGAACCCAAGAGGTGGAGATTGCAGTGAGCCCAGATCACGCCACTGCCCTCCGGCCTGGGCAAAGGAGCGAGACTCCATCTCAAAAAAACAGAAAAAAAAAAAGAAAAGAAAAGAAAAGAAAAACATGTCAGCCGGATGCAGTGGATCACACCTGTAATCCCAGCACTTTGGGAGGCTGAGGCAGGCATATCATGAGGTTAAGTGTTTGAAACCCTCCTGGCCAACATGATGAAGCCCTGTTTCTACTGAAAATACAAAAATTAGCCAAGTGTGGTGATGTGTGCTTGTAATCCCAGCTACTTGGGAGGCTGAGGCAGGAGAATTGCTTGAACCTGGGAGGCAGAGGTTGCAGTGAGCAGAGATTGAGCCACTGTACTCCAGCCTGGGGGACAGAGCAATATATTGACATGGAAACACACACACACACAGAACAGAAAAAAGTGTCAATCGAACTAATTCTGCTTAGTGAAGTTGGTTTAGGTTCTGGCACAAGTTCCTTATCTTGCTATGAATCACTGACAGGGCTATGTTAGAATAGCACTGTTAATGGAATATACATGATAGGAAATCTAAAATATAAGAATTCCACTATTAAAAAATACAGTCACAGAAACACTCAGAGTAGTAAAAAAACAAAAACAAAAACAAATAGGCCAGGAGCAGTGGCTCAGGCCTGTAATTCCAGCACTTTGGGAGGCCGAGGTGGGTGGATCATCCGAGGTCCAGAATTCGAGATCAGCCTGGTTAACATGGTGAGGTCAACCCCATCTCTACTGAAAATGCAAAATATAGCTGGGTGTAGTGGCTAACACTTCTAATCCCAGCTACTTGGGAGGCTGAGGCAGGAGAATCGCTTAAACGCAGGAGGCAGAGGTTGCAATGAGTCGAGATCGTGCCATTACACTCCAGCCTGGTCTACAAGAGCAAAACTCCGTCTCAAAAAAAAAAAGAAAAAAAAGAAAGAAAAGAAAATGGAGGAAATGGTTCACACAACCTAAGGTGATACGCTTGTATTTTGATATGTGGATATAGGCTCCATACATAGAATTCTGAATCCTTACTCATTTAACTCACTAGTACATTTTTATGCCACAACATGACCCCAGTGACCATGACTTTAATAGCCTGTTAGATTTTCTTTTTCTTTTTTTTTTTTTTTAATAGAGATGGGGTTTTACCATCTTGGCCAGGCTGGTCTTGAACTCCTGACCTCGTGATCCACCCATCTCGGCCTCTCATAGTGCTGGAATTACAGGCATGAGCCACCGCGCCTGGACAACTGCTTGATTTTCTTCCAAGGAAACATGAAAGACCCCGAGAACTGAGAGTCCCCCATCTTCTCCCACCTCACCTCCTTGTGTGCACGCTCCTCCTCCAGCGAGGTGATGTCGTCGTTCTTGTGCTCCTCCAGTAGACAGACCCCACACACGCAGCAGCCTTCTGCGCGACAGTACGTCTGCCGCAGACTGTGGTGCTTCCAGCACAAGCAGTTCTTGAGATCCCACACGGGCTCCAGCAGCTGGTAATCCTTGAACATCTGGTCCTCGAAGTGGCTGCGCAGGTGTTTCTTGCACAGGGAGGCCACACACTGCAGGCATGACTTGACAGATTTGAGCTTCGGGGTGGAACAGAAGTCGCAGGCCACGTCCTGGGACTGAGCCAGGGGCCACAAGGACCCTGAGGCCTGGCCTTTGGCCTGGATGAAGCTGGCCACCATCTCCCCTCGAATGACATTCTTACAGAGGCAGGGCCTGGAGGGGTAGCCCTCTTGGCACTGGGGGCAATAGAGCTTCTCGCCCATGGCAGCCTGGTGGTTCCAGAAACCTTGGAGGCAGTTCATGCAGAAGTTGTGACTTCAGGCGGTGGTGACCAGGTTGCAGAACACCTCTCGGCAAAAGGGACAGAGGAGTTGGTCCTCTAGCATGTGGAGATTGCTGTTGTTCCTCATCAGGAGCCGGACTTGGGGAGGTCTCGAGGGCTGGACAGGGGGCTGCAGTGCTGGGCCTTGGTCCTCGTTCTGTAGTGGCCCTGGGAAGACAGAGCAAAGCCATGCAGAAGCTGAGACGGGGTTGGGGCATTGAGAAAGTTCTCCTGTCTTCCTCTTAGTAGCAGCTGTCTGCCCATTGCAGGCAGGGACTGTCATTTATCAACCCACTTGGGGGACATAAATTGAAGATTGTGGGCTGGGTGCAGTGGCTCACACCTGTAATCCCAGCACTTTGGGAGACCGAGGTGGGCCGATCACCCGAGGTTAGGAGTCCGAGACCAGCCTGGCCAGCATGGTGAAACTCTGTCTCTACTAAAAATACAAAAATTAGCTAGGTGCCTGTAATCCCAGCTACTCAGGAGGCTGGAGCAGGAGAATCACTTGAGTCTGGGAGGCGGAGGCTGCAGGGAGCTGACATTGTGCCACTGCACTCCAGCCTGGGCCACAGAGCAAGACTCAGTTTCAAAAACAAAGAAGACTGTTCTTCTCCTTCCAGTCTTGGTTTCTGGAACACAAGAGCGCTGACAGGCAGAAGGAGCTACATTGTGACAAGGGAAAGGAGCTGCTTCCTTGGAGGAAGAGTTAGGAGCCTAAGTACTTACGTGAAACTCTCTGCTTTGTCAGGGAGAGCTGGATGCTTGGCTGCCCTGTGACAACAGGAAAAAGAACCTTGGGCACTCAGGCACTGGCCCTTGTCCCAGCCCCACTCTCCAGATGCTGGAAGGGTCCCCATCAGTCCATTGTGCCCGCACCCCAAGCTTTTTGCATCTTTTGGGGTCTGACAGCCGCCTCCTCACCTTTCCCTTTGGCTGATGTTTTCCTATCTCCCTATCCAGGCATCTTCCCTTCTTGAAGGTTGCCTGCAGTTTTGCTCCCTGAGGTCATAATTCAAGCTTGACCAGCCCCAGCATTCCGCTTGTGATGTCAGCAGGGCAGGGGGTGCCACTGGAGGGCTGTGATGCTGATTTAGTCTGCCTCTCTAGGAGCAGTTTGTCCCAGAGCCTTTGTCCCGGGAGACAGTAGCTGCTGACAGTTCATTTAATCTCTCTGGATCATGGGTCTTCTTCCTTGCTTTCTTTCTTGCTTGCTTGTTTGCTTCTCTTTTTGTGAGATGGAGTCTCACTGTGTCGCCCAGGCTGGAGTGCAGTGGCAGCTCACTGCAACCTCTGCCTCCCAGGTTCAAGTGATTTTCCTGCTTCAGCCTCGTGAGTAGCTGGGATTACAGGTGTCCACCACCACGTCTGGCTAATTATTTGTATTTTTAGTAGAGATGGGGTTTCACCATGTTGGCCTGGCTGGTCTCAAACTCCTGACCCCAGGTGATCTACCTGCCTCGGCTTCCCAAAGTGCTAGGATTACAGATGTGAGCCACCTTGCCTGGCCTGATTTTCAGCCTTTCTTACTTAGGAATACACACAATTTTCCCTTCTAAGTATGGCTTTTGCTACTTAGAAATGATAAAGCAGTATTATCATTTTTACTAAATTAAAAACACATTTTTTTTTTGAGACGAAGTCTTTCTCTGTTGCCCAGGCTGGAGTGCAGTGGCACAATCTCTGCTCCCTTCAACCTCCGTCTCCCGGGTTCAAGTGATTCTCCTGCCTCAGCCTCCCGAGTAGTTGGGACTACAGATTCATGCCACCACATCTAGCTAATTTTTTGTATATATATTTTTTAAGACGGGGTTTCACCATGTTGGTCAGGCTGGTCTTGAACTCCCAACCTCAGATGATCCACCCGCCTTGGCCTCCAGAGTGCTTGGATTACAGGCATGAGCCACCACGCCTAGCCAATTTTTTGTATTTTTAGTAGAAATGGGGTTTCACTGTGTTAGCCAGGATGGTCTCGATCTCCTGACCTCATGATCTGCCTGAGTCAGTCTCCCAAGGTGCTGGGATTACAGGTGTGAGCCACCACGCCCAGACATTAAAAACATTTTCTAATTTCTATTGTGATTTATTATTTGACCTCCTATTTATTTATTTATGTATTTATTTATTGAGACAGAGTCTTGCTCTGTCACCCAGGCTGGCATGCGGTGGCGTGATCTCTGCTCACTGCAACCTCTGCCTCCCAGGTTCAAGCGATCCTTCTGCCTCTCAAGTAGCTAGGACTACAGGTGTGTGCCGCCACACCCAGCTAATTTTTGTATTTTTTTGTAGAGGTGGGGTTTTACCATGTTGCCCAGACTGGTTTTGAACTCCTGGGCTCTAGTGATCCTTCCACCTTGACCTCCCAAAGTACTGGGATTACAGGCATGAACCACTGCACCCAGCCCTAATTGTATTTTTTAGTTCTAGAATTTCTACTTGCCTCTTCTTCTTTTTCTTCTCCAAGGCTTATCACAGCTTATTGTTTTGAGAATGCTTTCTAAGCAGCAATAGACTTGAGAATGTTATTAGCTGCTACTGTTTGTTTTCCTTCTAGGGTCCTAAGTCAGCCAAAACCAAAATGGAACAAACAGAAAAATCTCAAGGGTATATCACTTTCAAGGCCTCGCTGGCAAACAGCGAAATTGGGACATCAAATAGATTCTGGAGTGATCTTCAGTGGTTACCCAGGTAAGACATTTCTTTGCACTTTTCCTTTTGAAATGTTGAGGTTGACATACACAGAAGTACAGAGGGGAAAAAACCCCAAGTCTTTTAAAAATAATGTCTTCATTTAGAAATATGACTGATGGGGGCTTGGCAGGGGTTACTAGGATCTGAAAGAGGCTGAGTTTCATCTTCCAGCCCAACTGTCCACATTTAGAACTGACAACATTCATGAACTAAGTCAACATCCACCAAAAATAACATAAGATAATGCTCACTGTTTTGGAAGATGAGAATGACACACACAGACCTCACCCACAAATCTCTAAGCTGGGACAACAAACGCTTGCATTTAAACTTCTCTAAAATGTCAAATTAGCATATTCTTTCCCTCAATGTAAAGTTTCAATAAACTTGACTAAATCTCCTTTATTTTAAAAACCTTACAAAACATGTATTTAAATGCTTGAAGAAATTAACTTTAGGCCGGGTGTGGTGGCTGTGGCTCTCGCCTGTAATCCCAGCACTTTGGGAGGCCAAGGCAGGCAGATCACCTGAGGTCAGGAGTTGGAGACCAGCCTGACCAACATGGTGAAACCCCGTCTCTACTAAAAATACAAAATTAGGCAGGTATGATGGCACATGTCTGTAATCTCCAGGTAGTCGGGAGGCTGAGGCAGGAGAATTCCTTGAACCTGGAAGGTGGAGGTTGCAGTGAGATGAGATTGTGCCATTGCACTCCAGCCTGGACGACAGAGTGAGACTCTGTCTCAAAAAAAAAAAAAAAAAAATCTTGTTTCACTATTATCTACTTTCATTTCTCCTTCCCTCACTGGAGTATTTAAAGCAAATGCCAAACATGAATTTTCATCCACAAACACGAATATCCTTACTTTTAAGAGATAAGAATGATCTCTTTTGAAAACCAAACTTCACTCAGTAGAAAAAGAAGAAAATTGCATGAAAAAGAAAAGGAAAAGAAAACCAACCCTTAACAACATTATTCTCTCACACACACACATAATCCTTTATTTTTATTTATTTATTCTTTTTTTGTTTTTTTTGGAGACAGAGTCTCACTCTGTTACCCAGGCTGGAGTGCAGTGGAACAATCTTGGCTCACTGCAACTTCCTCCTCCTAGGTCCAAGCGATTCTCCTGCCTCAGCCTCCCAAGTAGCTGAGACTACAGGAGTGCACCACCACGCCCAGGTAATTTTGTATTTTTAGTAGAGATGAAGCTTCACCCTGTTGGCCAGGCCGGTCTTGATCTCTTGACCAGTGTGAGGCACTGCGCCTGGCCCACATATTTCTTTATATCTGTCAATGTTTAAATGTCTCTAATTGTCATATAAATGTATTTTTTTAGCTTTGCAGTAGCTGCCGATATAAATGCATTTTTACTGTTAGAATCTGGATCTAACAAAAAATACAAAACAAAGGCCAGGCGTGGTGGCTCACTCCTGTAATCCCAGCACTTTGGGAGGCCAAAGTGGGCAGATTGCCTGACCTCAGGAGTTCAAGACCAGCCTGGGCAACACAGTGAAACCCCGTCTCTCCAAAAAAAAAATTAGCCAGGCATGGTGGCACCCTCCTCGGTCCCAGCTACGGGAGGCTGGTGTGGGAGGATCGCTTGGGCCTCAGAGGTTGAGGCTACAATGAGTGGAGATTGTATCAGTGCACACTCTAGCCTGGGCAATGGAGTAAGACCCTGTCTCAAAAATAATGATAAAAATAACTGGGCTAGATGCAGTGGCTCATGCCTCTAATCCCAGAACTTTGGGAGGCCAAGGCAGGTGGATCAACGGAGATCAGGAGTTCAAGACCAGTCTGGCCAACATGGTCAAACTCCGACTCTACTAAGAATACAAAAATTAGCCGGGTGTGGTGGCGTGTAGCTGTAGTCCCGGGGCTGGGGAGGCTGAGGCAGGAGAATCACTTGAACCCAGGAGGTGGAGCTTTCAGTGAGCTGAGATCTCACCACTGCAATCTAGCCTGAGTGACACAGCAGGACTTCAACTCAAAAAATAATAACAGCTCCGTCTCCCATGATTTCCCCCTTGCCACTTTTTTTGTTGAAGAAACAGAGTCGTTTGCCCTTTGCAGTTTCTCCTTTCTGGGCATGGCTGGTTGGATATCCATGTACCATTTCACCTGTTCCTGTATTCTCAGCATTTCCCATAAGCTGCTGGGATTCAGGTTCGGTTTTTGGCGAGCATCTTTCATACGTGGTGTCGTGTATTTCTGATTGCTTAAAATCAGGAGGCACAAATGTTTGGCTCTCACTGCCTGGTTTGTGTTGATTGTGTACTGAACATTATGTATAAGGAACTGGAGTGGTGACTGAAGGCTAAGGATGATACTATATTCCTTCAGAACGGATTTATGACTGTTACTGGCAGGAGGCTAGAAACACCAGCAGTCCTAAATCACCTTAGTCCAATCAGGGACTAGATGATTGAAAGCTGGACTCCAAGAACCACATACCAATCAAATAGATATTCCAGAAAAAAAAAAAAAAAAAAAAAGAAAGCTGGACTCCAGTCCTTTCAGAGGTCGGGTCTATTTTGGCTTGTCCTGCCTCCCGGGGATCCCAACCCTAAGCACAGAGGCTTTACCTGGGCCTTTCCCTGGCACAGCCTGATCTCCAATATTTGTTCCATATCCCTGTGAGTCAGGAGCAGCTTTGACAGCTTCTCATATGCCTCTACCAGAATCAGCAGATCCACCAAGGAAAAAATGCTGGGTCACTTCCCTGGGTTTCCCTCTTCTACTGATCTTGGTCCTGTAATTCTTTACTAGAATTCACCGGCATGCATATGCGCACACATGCGCACGCACACACACACATGCACGCACACACACGCACGCGCACACACACATCACATATATATGTGTCTCTTTTTCTAGCTCTTTTCAGGGAGAATGTTGGTCAGAATTATGTGGTCCACAATTCTCAGAAATTCAGTATCATTTGCCTTTTTTTTTTTTTTTTGAGACAGAGTCTTGCTCTGTTGCCAGGCTGGAGTGCAGTAGTGCAATCTTGGCTCACTGCAACTTCTGCCTCCTGGGTTCAAGCAATTCTTCTGCCTAGCCTCCCAAGTAGCTGGCACTACAGGCACACACTGCCATGCCCAGCTAATTTTTGTATTTTTAGTAAAGACAGCGTTGCTCACTGCAAACTCCGCCTCCTGGAGTTCAAGTTATTCTCCTGCTTCAGCCTCCTGACAAGGTCTGGCTGGGCATAGTGGCTCACATCTGTAATCCCAGTACTTTGGGAGGCCGAGGCGGGGAGATCACGAGGTCAGGAAATCGAGACCATCCTGGCAAACATGGTGAAACCCCGTCTCTACTAAAAATACAAAACTTAGCTTTCTGGTGTGGAGTGTGGAGATGGTGTGCAGAAATGGCACCTTAAAAGGGGAAGGAAAAGAAGGAAGAACAGGTTGTCAGCCTCAAACCTCAGGTGGCTGAAGGAGAGAATGTATTTGGTGTCTGCCATATCTTTGCATCTTTCAATGACACTGATCTTTCTGGCAAAGAAATCATCTGCCGTGTCACTGGTGGGATGAAGGTGAAGGCAGACCGAGATGAATCCTCGCCATATGGTGCTATGCTGGCTGCCCAGGATGTGGCCCAGAGGTGCAAGGAGCTGAGTATCACTGCCCTACACATCAAACTCCAGGCCACAGGAGAAAATAGGACCAAGACCCCTGGATCTGGTGCCCAGTTGGCTCTTAGAGCCCTTGCCGGCTCTGATATAACATCAGGCAGATTGAGGACGTCACCCCCATCCCCTCTGACAGCACCTACAGTCAGGGGGATCGCCATGGTAGTCATCTGTGAACAAGACTTCTCAAAATATTTTGTTAATAAATTGCCTTCATGTAAAAAAAAAAAGCCAAAAATTAGCTGGGCATGGTGGCGCATGCATGTAATTCCAGCTACTCAGGAGGCTGAGGCAGGAGAATCACTTGAACCCAGGAGGCAGAGGTTGCAGTGAGCCGAGATCACACCATTGCACTCCAGCCTGGGCAATAAGAGCAAAACTCTGTCTTGGATAAAAAAAAAGGATGGTGAAAAACAACTTCATGCCTCCATGGATACAACAAGATACAACTACTCTTGTATAAGCAAAACTAATCCCTCCCTCCCTCCAAAATAGACATGAAATGTCAAATCATTATGTCCCTGTCTCAGAGACAGTATTTCTAGGCTATGTTAATTGCTCCTAATTGCCAGCCACAGTGGCTTATGCCTACAATCTCAGTACTTTGGGAGGCTGAGGTGGGAGGATTGCTTGAGACCAGGAGTTCAAGACCAGGCTGGGCTACATAGTGAGGCCGCATCTATATACAAATTTTTTTTTTAATTAGCCAGGCATAATGACACGCCTGCAGTTCCAGCTACTCAGGAAGCTGAGGTGGGATGACCACTTGAGTCCAGGATTTCAAAGCTGCAGTGAGCTATGCTCTCTAGTGTGAGAGACAGAGTGAGACCCTGTTTTTTTGTTTGTTTGTTTTTGTTTGTTTTTTTTTTTTTAGACAGTTTTGCTCTTGCCCAGGCTGGAGTGCAATGGCATGATCTCAGATCCCTGCAACCTCCACCTCCCTAGTTCAAGCTGGGATTACAGGCGCCCACCACTACGCCTGGCTAATTTTTTGTATTTTTAGTAGAGACGGGGTTTCACCATGTTGGCCAGGCTGGTCTCAAACTCCTGACCTGAGGTGATCTGCCTGTCTTGGCCTCCCAAAGTGCTGAGATTTCAGGTGTGAGCCATGACACCTGGCATTTTTCACCATCCTATGCAAGCTAAGTGTGTGCAGAAGTGTGTACACATGAGGGGAATCAAAGGCGGGCTGAGCCAGTTAGCCCTTCATCATCTCAGCCCCAATCCCACCCTCTGAACTCTGCCCCAAGCCCCGTGTCCCCCTCCTACCTCACCCTGGTAGGACAGGCTGAGGGAGACTGCCAGGCAAGAGAAAAAAAGAAGGGACAGTGTGTTTCCTGCTGTCAGCCAGACCACAGAACACTGCTGCGTGCTGGCATAGCTGATTCCAGGAGTGGTGCTGGTTTCTTGGTGGTTTCTCTACCCTCTGAGAGGCAGCAGCTGCCGCTGACCAGCACCTCCTTCTCCACTGGGCCCCTCCTCTTGAGTCTCCATTTTATTTTATTTTTTGAGACAGTCTCTCTCTGTTGCCCAGGCTGGAGTGTAGTAGTTCACTCTCGGCCCACTGCAACTTCCACCTCCCAGGTTCAAGCGATTCTTGTGCCTCAGCTCCCCAAGTAGTTGGGATTACAGGCGTGTACCACCACGCCTGGCTGATTTTTGTATTTTTAGTAGAGACAGGGTTTCACCATTATGGCAAGGCCATTCTTAAATGTCTGACCTCAAGTGATGTGCCTCGGCCTCCCAAAGTGCTGAGATTACAGGTGTGAGCTGCTGTGCTTGACCTTATTTTATTTTAAATTTAATTTTATGTAGAGACAGGGGTCTCACCATGATGCCCAGGCTGATGGCAAACTCCTGGGCTTAAGAAATCCTCCCAGGTCGGTTCCCAAAGTGCAGGTGAATCTCCTTTTTTTTTGTTTGAGAGGTTGTTTCACTTGTTGCCCTGGCTGGAGTGCAATGGCGTAGTCTCCGCTCACAGCAACCTCCACCTCCTGGGTTCAAGTGATTCTCCTGCCTCAGCCTCCCGAATAGCTGGGATTACAGGCACATGGCACTACGCCCAGCTAATTTTGTATTTTTTAGTACAGGTTTTCTCCATATTGGTTAGGCTGGTCTCAAACACCTGACCTCAGGTAATCCACCCACCTCGGCCTCCCAAAGTGGTGGGAGACACTACAGGTGTGAGCCACCACGCCCAGCTGAATCTCCATTTTTTTTTTTTTTTTTTGAGACGAGTCTTGCTCTGTCACCCAGGCTGGAGTGCAGTGGCACAATTTTGTATTTTTAGTAGAGATGGGGTTTCACAATGTTGGTTGGGCTTGTCTCAAACTCCTGACCTCGTGATCTGCCTGCCTCGGCCTCCCAAAGTGCTGAGATTACGGGCGTGAGCCACCGCGCCTAGCCTGAATCTCCTAAGTTCACAGGTCCCAGGAGTGAGAACTGCACCCTGCAATCCGTACATCTGTGATGCCTCAGTGCCCACCCCTCCCTTTCCTTTCTCTACTACCAGGCAACTGCACGTGGTCTCCCAGTTGGACCCTGATGGATGCACCCACATACTCTGTTCACTAAGCTGTGAGTCCATCTTGTCTCCACATCTGAAAGTGCTCTCCGGAAGGGACTAACACCTTCTAAGGATCCCACGCCCTGCCTGATGCTAAAGTGATCAATACTTGTTTGCCAATTACTTGTCACCAAATGTTTCTCACTCATCCTCTTCCTTGTCTTCTTTGTACCTAGTCACTCACTCTCTTTCAGAAAGAATTGTCCTTAAAAACCAGCTCACAGCCAGGCATGGTGACTCACGCCTGTAATCCCAGCACATTGGGAGGCTGAGGCAGGCGGATCACCTGAGGTCAGGAGTTCAAGACCAGCCTGGCCAACATGACAAAATCACGTGTCTACTAAAAATACAAAAATTAGCCAGGCATGCAGGCAGGCACCTTTAATCCCAGCTACTCAGGAGGTGAGGCTGGAGAACTGCTTGAACCCGGGAGGCAGAGGTTGGAGTGAGCCAAGACTGTACCACTGCACTCCAGCCTTGGTGACTGAGCAAAACTCCATCTCAAAAAAAAAAAAAAAAAAACATACCACATCTCACACTCCTCCCCTTGCCTCTTTCCAGCGCTCTGGTGGGCAGCCCATCTGTCCCACCTTCTGTTTCTCTGCACTCTCTCGGTCTTTTCAGATTCAGTAAAATGGAAGGGAGGAGAGAGAAGGCTCAACACCCTCTTCGGCGGTTTCAGTAGCAGGAGAAAAGGACTTGGTCAGCTGCCCTGGTGGGAAAGGTGAAGTCATCTCCTGAGACCCCTGAGGGTCCTGTGAGAACCCTCGACAGGAAGTGATGGTGGGAACCCAGAGCCTGCAGTGATGGAAAACACACCAGAGTTCTCGAGATTCACGTTTATTTCCTATCTGTATTTACAAAAAAAAAAAAAAAAAAAAAAGTCACAGCATTTCAGACTATTTAAACACACAAATAGGAACAGAGGGTACCCACCAGTGACAGCCTCATCCCAAAGGTCCGGATCAAAGGCCACACTGGAGGGTGCGGGTGTCCTCTTGGGCCTCCTCCTCAGCATTCTGTGGCTCCCCACCCCTGGCCTTGCTGACACCCCCAGAGCAGTTATAACTGTGCAGAAAGGAAGCCACTTTAGAGGAGGCCAGGCCCCACCTCACTGTCATGGAAAAAGGCCAGATTCTGAGGAAAAGACAGAATCAGTGCTACTGTGTCATTGCTTGAGGGGTGCTGGGCGCTCCTGGACCTGGCTGGCATCACCTGCGTCCCAGACCTAGGGCAGAGAAAAAGGCAGGCCCCTCCCCGCTTGGCAATACAGGGCAGCACAGAGTGTGGGTCACTGGTCACATGACAGCCCCAGACTGCCACGCAGACCTCTCTGACATGATTAGCCAGACACTCTGAGGGCACAAGGCTTTCAAGCAAGAACACCAGCTTGGTTCCTAAAGGGTGTGGGTGAACAATGCTCCCAGAAATCTGAAAAAAACCAATCGGCCTCAGAATCTTGGAGCGCTGGAACAATACAGTTGTCATTGGGTTGCAGCGAGGAGGGAAACTTGGTGAACACCAGCCCCCCAGAGGGCGGAAATATCACTCCCATTGCCCAGAGTGTGTGGCTTGGGGCTCAATTGCAGTCTTTTCACAGGGGCAAATGGGGAATCTGAGAAGAGGAACGAAGGAAATGGCGCCCTTAGGAGGTTCTGGACATTAGTGTCTGTCTGTCCACCAGGCCTCCTTGCTGAACCTGGTGAGAAAGCTGGGGTTGGGACTAGGAGCCCCAGCCCGCTGATGATCAGGCATGTCCCAGGAAAGCAGACAGGCACAAGACCCCAATGCAAGCTGCTTTCCTCCTGTCAGTCTGATGTTACTCACTGGACCTGGCCAAGGAGCACCTCTTCCAAAGTCCTCCCTCCTCCTCGGCTCAGAGCAGTCCTTCCCGCAATTACTACTTTCCTTGGCTACATCTAAATCGCTAAATCTTTTTTTTTTTCCCTGAAAGATATGACTGTATGGATGCCTGTGACTCTTTTGAAGGGGTGGCTGCTTTTACTGATGGCGGCAGTTCATCTAACATTTGCTGTAAAATGTGGCACACAGGTGTGTAGACACTGATGTGTCAGCAGAAACCCCTGTATACTGGGTTCTGTGCTATGCTACAGATACAGAGAAACAAGGACAGTGAGGTCCTAGGGAAAAGTTAAGCCATCTGGGCATGGTTAGGTCAGAAGCTAAAAACATTTGGCATAGTCTACAGTCATTTCCAGAAATTACTACCCAGACGCACCTGGCAAGCAGGTGCACTGTGGAGCAGAGGAAGGTGGGCAGGAGAGCCTGGCTCGAGGCGGCTTTCACAGGAGCAGTTCCCAGAGCCCCTTCCCCGTGCCATCTGCTATGCTACTGAGTTATCAGGGTCAGACAGGGTCCCCTGGCTTCACTGCATTCCATGACTGCTCAGCAAGACCCGGACGCTCGGAGAGAAAAGTGTGGACACAAGCTCTGCAGACACAGCCCAAAGGAGAGCGCTGCTGCCCTGGATCCTCGCCAGTGTGGCATTCCAGAATAGGAAGTAATGGTGAGGGAAGGTCAGAGACACAGGGGGTCCTCAGGCTGTCTAGCACACATATACACACCACTGGGTACAGCACAGAGGGGAGCAGGTTTGTCAAGGTCAGAAACCAAGAAGACACAAATATTGCACATCCAGTCAAGGCATTTCCAAGAGACAGTCACAGAAATAACTCTTTGAGATACAACAACGTAACACATTTGGCAACTTTCAAAGAAATAGCCTTCCCCACCCCAAGCCATCAAAAGGTCCGTTAAGTCCCTTCATCTTTGGTCCAGTAGAAAAAGCCAGGGAAGGTAACAGGGTCAATGGGGGCAAGAGGAGGCTGCAGGTGCAGTTCCATCAGCTCCCTAAAGCTCCCACTTGGCTGGCTGACTCAGGGCAGGATGCTGCCTGTCTCAAACCTCCTACTGGAGGGAAAGCAAGCTCTCCGGAGGGTCCCGGCAGCTGGAGAAAACTGAGGCAAAGCTGCACGTGGTGGCAGCTGAGAGCCCCAAATCCAGAGAAATGATCAACACAATAAAGGACACCCCATCCTCCCTTTCCTTGGAGACTCTATTCATGGGAATGTGGTGTGCTATGGCATCTCTATGCTTTACCTAAAACCTCAACTCAACAAATTGCAGCTAGAACCCTTTGCATCTGCTGCAGGTCTTTGAGGGTGCACAGGAGGGGCAGTGTTCCAAAGCAGCTGCTAACATCCAATGTGGCACACATCGGGTGAAACCATGGCACGGGCAGGAACAATCCTCTTTCCTTTGCTCCACCTTCCTAAAAGTACAGGCCATTTCCCTCATCCCCCAGATTCCCAAAAGGCTCTGACTGGGAACCCAGCCCAGCCGCTGTTGTAAAGATCTGTTCTAACACTGGCTAAGAAAATGAAAACAGGTTTCTGAAAAGGTATTCTGCAGCCAGAAATCGCATCTGTCTTCGGAGTCCTGTGGGTGGGGAGGGAGTTCCTTTAGTTTTGACCAGAACACTTCTTTATAGGGGGCCAGGCTCAGCAGTGCTTTGCAGTGGCTCAGTCACTGGACAGGAGCAAGGTTTCACTTCACAGAGGGGCTCTGCTGACTGCTCTCCTGAAGGTCTGGAGTTTCAGGGTCTTAGTTTACATCCGTGATCCTCTCTCCTGCAGAATCTGAAAGTTGGAGACAGGGGAGAGGCTGAGGCAGCTGAGGGAAAAGAGAGAGACGTTGGGGGCTGCTTTCCACTGGACCCAGTGAGCGGCATGACAGTCCTGTCATCCCAGGAAGCGAGCAGGGGTGCAGCCTCAGCCTCACCCGCAGTGCTTTGGTGCGAAACACTCTCTTGCTGGACACAGCTGGGTCTGAAGCTTATGTGCTGCTGGACCAAAGCTTTGCCAGCCTAAAGGGAGTGGTTCCAGTTTACCTGGTATCCGCCATTTAGAAGCTGCGCGCGCGCGCGTGTGTGTGTGGTGAGGCGGGTGCATGGTGGAGGGAAAAGAAACAGTGTCAAACAATTTTCCAGGAACTTAAGGAAGGTAAAGGTCACAAAGGTAAGAAAACACCCTTTTTCTCCGGAGGCAGTGAAAAAACAACAGTTTTAAAGAATAAAGGCAAAATTCTTTCCAAGTCTGAGTTCAGAATTCCTACCCTGTAGTAATTAGTGGTAACCAGCTTTTCTTTTCATTGATTTGGCAGAGGATGGAGAAAGCCTATCCTTTTTAGGTTCCTATTTCCTAACTAAAAACCCGTCAGTGCTCTGTAAATCCCAATTTCAATTACACAGTCAAAACCAACAAAACGAGGGGAAAACACCACGCTGGCTCTAGAAGGCCAGGGAAGAAGTAAGGAGCAAGAGTTCAGGAAAAGGCCACAGAGGGGCTGCGAACAAGCAGGCCAGAGGCAGCTGCCTGGAGAGGGGTTCCTTACCTTCGCCTTTTCACTCGGCTCTATGACGATGCCATTGGTAGAGTTATTTAGTTCTCTGGAGACAACACAGAGGAATTCTGCCTGATCCTCATTGCCATAGTTATAGGAAGATCCGATGCTGATGAGCTGATGAGCCAAGAATACAGTGAACATGCACACAGCGATCTTACCATAGTAAAGTGCTACACGAATCACTCTTCCTCCAACCGAACTTTTGTTTTACTTCTCAAAGGATAAAGAATTCTCTGGGACCACCAAAGCCCCAGGGTGTAAATGGGCCTGTTCTTCATCAGGGCATCCTCAGTGAGGCTTCCCCCAGGGAAAAGTATGAGCTCCAGTACTGTCCCTTCACCCAAGTTCTGAAGTCCCCCCACAGGCATCGGCCGGATTAACACACGCATGCTCCCTTCATCACACCAAGGGGAAAGACTACGCATCTGTGAACAAAATGGACACGTGTTTCAGTCACACACAGAGCTGGCTCCTCTAGCAGAAGCCGTAGACAGGAGACTGGCACTCAGAAGGCTCTGGAAAGCACCAAGTGAATCACTGATCAGCTACTGGAAGTCATATGGTGCTGGTACTTTTTTTTTTCCAGACAGGGTCTTGCTCTGTCACCCAAGCTGGAGTGCAATGGTGCAATCACAGTTCACTGCAGCCTCTACCTCCTGGGCTCAAGTGATCCTCCCACCTCAGCCTCCTGAGTAGCTGGGACTACAGGTGTGTGCCATGCCTGGCTAATTCTTTTATTTTTCATAAAGAAGGGGTGGGGTCTCACTATGTTGCCCAGGCTGGCCTCCGAACTCCAGGACTCAAGCGATCCTCCCACCATGGCCTCCCAAAGTGCTGAGATTACAGATGTGAGCCACCGCGTGGTACTTTTAACCTTTTTTGGAAAATTAAATTCAGTACTTAATTCTAAAGGGGAAATATACACGCAGGGGAGCAGCTTGGACAGAGAGTGAGGGTATCCCAGTGAGCAGGCGAAGCCCCATGTGGGTGGCATGGCTGACTGCGGTAAGATGGGGCTCGGGGCACTTCCGCCTAGCTGAAACTGACTTCCTCATCCAGAAGGGAGGCAATGAGAACACCCTCTGTCCTCCCACAGGTCAGTAATAAGATGAGAAATGTAACAAGAAATTATTCATTAGTTTCACAAAGAATCATTTTTAAAAAATCATTTGCTTAAGACCTAATATCAGGAAAGACACTTCTGCAGTGGAGGGCATTAAACTCTTGGCAATGTTTTACAACCCATGCCCAGTAAGAACCAAGCTAACAGCATAGGCAGAGTGGATTTCATGGTGGAAGCTAAGCATGAGGAATAATCAGCACTGGCTCTGAAGGCAGAGACAGCTTTGCACTTGATCTGTAAGATAATACCATTAATGCAAAGTGTGAGTTTTCTTTTAGAAGGTAAGCATCTGGTGAGACAGCTGCTGACCTCTTAAAACTCTACACGTAAGTAGGCATAATCCATATAAAATCATATTTACTCTATTTGCTCTGGCCTTCCTGTGTTTTGAAGGCAACAAGACAACTGAACAAGTCTGCCATCTAATGGAGGAAAACAGTGAAGCTCCTACTGTCAGCTTTGGTTTGATAGCTTAATCATTAACTGGAAGTGGGGAGAAGTGGGGGAAACGGCCGCACCACACTTCCCACGGTGCCCGATCCCTTCCTAGCACAGCTGTTCACCAAGCTCTTCGTGGTGGATTACACAGACATTCAGAACCGAAAAGTTCTGATCCTGGGAAAAGAAATGGAAGGCTTGTTGTTGAATCCCAGTCTCCTTTAGGGACTCATTCTAGAATCCCTGTGAGGGAACACAAACCACCAAAGGGAGGCACTTTGAAGCCTCAAGTGCTCGCTGACTCCCCTGCAAAGTCTGGATGTGAAGCTAAAACATGATGCTCCTCTGCTCCCCCCAATCCTCGTGTGCCACAGAGCAGCAGCGGCCACTGAATCTCTGTTCCCTACTCCTCATGTGCCACGGAGCAGCAGTGCCCATCGAATCTGTTCCCTACTCATGTGCCACGGAGCAGCAGTGCCCACCGAATCTCTGTTCCCTACTCCTCATGTGCCACGGAGCAGCAGCGCCCACCGAATCTCTGTTCCCTACTCCTCATGTGCCACGGAGCAGCAGCGCCCACCGAATCTCTGTTCTCTACCCCTCATGTGCCACGGAGCAGCAGCGCCCACTGAATCTCTGTTCCCTACTCCTCATGTGCCACGGAGCAGCAGTGCCCACTGAATCTCTGTTCCCTACTCCTCATGTGCCACAGAGCAGCAGCGCCCACTGAATCTCTGTTCCCCCAACTCCTCATATACCACTGACCAGCAGTGCCCACTGAATGGCTCTTTGCCCATGTTTTGGAAAATAATCCCACCTGGCCCTACCCATCTCCCAGGGTTATTAACTGGCTGTTCACGGTGACTGTTCAAAGAGCTGAAGACCTGGTGAATGGGGTCTGGGGTGGCTGCTCTGTAAGAGATGTACCTGTTCGAATTTCCAACCGTCGGACATTGTGGAGACCATCTGTGTGAGCTCTTCTTCTTGACACTGCAGGACTCTGTACACATGTTTCACGGGGCCCTGCAACGACCAGGCATAGACTGAGAACATCAAGGGCACCACAGTTTGCAGGTGCCCCGAGGAGGCTCTTCAAATGAATCAACATTGGAAAGGAGTTTGCTTGGAAATCTTTTCTTGGCAGCCACCCACTTACCCCTTTTACAAATAGTACTGTGGCATTTCTATTCCCCCCACTCTTTAAAAAATGTTTTTCTTTTTAAATGACCACAAGCCAGGATACTGTGGCTTTTCAATAAAAAGTTGTCCAAGGAAAGAAAGGAAAAAAAGGTAAAATAATTCTGTTCTTCAGAGGGATGAATGATTGAGCAACTATGCTGATGAACTTAGATTTAATCCATTTCCCCAAGTCAAAAATAAGGTAAAATTAGTATTATTATTATTAGTTTTTGAGATGGAGTCTTGCTTTGTCACCCAGGCTGGAGTGCAACAGTGTGATCTCGGCTCACTGCAACCTCTGCCTCCTGGGCTCAAGAGATTCTCCTGCCTCAGCCTCCCGAGTAGCTGCGATTACAGGCGCCCACCACCATGCCCGGCTAATTTTTGTATTTTTGGTATAGAGACGGGCTTTCACCACATTAGTCAAGCTGGTCTCGAACTCTTGATCTCAGGTGATCTGCCTGCCTCAGCCTCCCAAAGTGCTGGGATTACAGGTGTGAGCCACTGCGCCCAGCCCAATTGTTTTATAGTACAAAATGTAGAGTATCACAAAAGATCTGTGATGTTGGCCACAGTTGTCAAAGTCCCAGTTATTTAAGATGCCATTATATTGCCTCTTTTCTTCTCTCTTCCAAAGTAAACCACTGGTGCTCTCAAATGCACCAAGAGCAATCACCTGAAAAAAATACTATTATAAGAAATAGAAGGTTGGGTATGGTGATTCATGCTTGTAATTCCAGCACTTCCGGAGGCTGAGGCAGGTGGATCACCTGAGGTCAGGAGTTCGAGACCAGCCTGGCCAACACAGGGAAATCCTGTACCTGGTAAATATACAAAAATTAGCCCACCTAATGTAGAGCCTGCAGTGAGCTGAGATTACACCACTGCATTCCAGCCTGGGCAACACAGCGAGACTCCATCTCAAAAAAAAAAAAGGAAAAAGAAATAGGAAAGTAGTTAGGTGGCAGCCACTAAGAGCTAAGAACAAAGGTGGGGTCGAGGCCCACATCTTGGGCTTGGCTTGAATGCTGCATGTGTGAAGGGCTACAGGTAAATTCAAAGAGATAACGTGTCTGAAAATCCACACACACAAAATAAAATAAAATTAAAAAAGGAAACAAAATGATAATCCACACATGGCCAACTTCACCTTACAGCCATGTACGACAAGTGCCAAAGAGGGTGTCTTTGAACAATATCAAATTCATTTTCAGTTTCATTACATAAAAAGAACAAATGGAAAGATCAGCTAAGATCAAAAAGGTCTTGACATTCCTAGAACAAAAAGCTTCCAAAGGGGTATGAATCCACAAGGCTTCAGAATCTACAAGAAGAATAAATTTAATTGTGGTTATCAAATAGAAATCTTACAATGTTCTCTAGGAATTAGCTGATGACGAGGAAGGGAGAATGTTCAGGTACCACGATTTGAATCATTTCAAATTACAAAATTCAAATCCATCAAAATTTACAGTAAGCAGTCATTTTTTAGAATGTGGAAAATTGAAGATAAGACTAGATTACCAAAATGTCTAAACTATTAAATATCTACAATAGTAAAAGATACCACATAAATGTAAGATACCAAAGAGACTGGTGACAGTGGATCACATTTCAAGTAATAATCTGCAAACCAACTACAAAGCCACCTTTGAACATCAAAAAGGAGCCTTTCAGCTGTAAGCCAGATGGAAGAACTCAATAAATGAATGAGCCCTTCTCTTCACCTTTGCAAACTGCTGGAGAAAGTGGATAAGAAAGTTAATTTTTCATCTTTAGTGTCAGTTACTCATCCAGATATTCCATTTAGAGCCAGAAAACTTTTTTTTTTTTTTTTGAGATGAAGTCTCACTCTGTTGCCCAGGCTGGAGTACAGTGGTGCCATCTCAGTTCATTGCAACCTCCACTATCTTGGTTCAAGTGGTTCTCCTGCTTTATCCTCTAGAGTAGCTGGAATTACATGTGTCCGCTACCACAGCCGGCCAATTTTTGGTAGAGACACGGTTTCACCATGTTGGCCGGCTGGTCTTGAACTTCTGACATCAAGTGATCCACTTGCCTCAGCCTCTCAGAGTGCTGGGGTTACAGGCGTGAGCCACCGCACCTGGCCTAGAGCCAGAAAACTTTGAAACACGAAATCTAACACAAAAAGAACAGGCATTATTTTTTACTTTTAAAAAGAAATTTATGCCAGGCATGGTGGCTCATGCCTGTAATCCCAGCACTTTGGGAGGCCCAGGTGGATCACTTGAGCTCAAGGAGTTTAACACCAGCCTGGCCAATACGGTGAAACTCCATCTCTATGCACTCTAGCCTGGGTGACAGACGGAGGCTTTGTCTCAAAAATAAAAAAGAAAAAAATTAAAGAAATGTACTGCCTTCTTAATGGCAGGAAAATTCTGTGCTGCAATGGATTACACCTAAAGCATCTACCACCAGTATCTCATAGGATAAGAGGCAATTATGCTACAAGACAGGCAGTCATGGTGGAGTAAGACTCTGCCCTCTCTTACTGTTAATCTGTAGCTGCAGTTTCTTTCTTTTTTTTTTTTTTTCCTAATTTTCCCAAGACCTCTTAATTCCAAAGTTGTAGTTTCTTAAAACAGAGTTTAAACGCATGAAAGAGAGGGTCTATTCTTCTGGCTAGACTTCAAGCTTCTTGAGGGCAAGGACTTTCAATTACTTACAGAATCCCAAGGGCCTAATAGAAGCTATTATGGCCATTCAAACACATGATGAATGGCAAGATGTAAAATAGGTATGCCCTAACACCTTTCCTCTAAATAGGTGGGCAAATTCCCTTTCACTCTTGTTACTAAATGTGAGTTAATATAAAAATCAAGGCCAGGCACAGCTCACACCTGTAATCCCAATAACTTGGGAGGACAAGGTGGGTGGACTACTGGAGTCCAGGAGTTTGAGATCAGCCTGGTCAACAAAGCGCAACCTCCTCTCTACCAAAAATACAAAAAATTGGCCAGGCATGGTGGCTTGCACCTGTAGTCCCAGTTACTCAGGAGGCTGTGGTGGGAGAATCACCTGAGCCTGCAAAGTAGGAGCTGTATGTGACTCCATCATGTGCTAAAGGCTTGTCTCCATAGAGAGTGGCCAAGAGGTGGAACCAAGACCTCTACAGTCTTTAGGAGGGAGACCTACTCGATCAGAGAGAATAGGTTGTGGACCTTAAGTGCCCTGGGCGCCTCCTCCTGCCATCTGGTGAGCAGCCACAATCTTCTCATTCTACTGGGACATAGGCCTATTCTGTTTTCTTTGCTGTTTCTTCTTTCCTGTTTTCTCCTGTGCAGTTTGGCTGAGTGTGCATTCCCTGCATTGCGAACAGACAGTGCTCCACACAGATAAGGGGAAAGGCATCCTTTTCAAATCACAGACAACCAACAGAGGGCCACTTGAGACATCCCCCCCTTAACAGGTCCAAACACATTACTTGTGAAGTTCTGTTCTCATTGTCCCGTATCCTTTCCTTAACCAGCCGCACAAGGGATGCAATGTTGTAAAACTCCGCTTCCTCCAGCACACCTGGAACAAGGACCAAACCGCAGTCAGACAGGTGTGTGAGTTTGCAGGAAAGCACCAAGGAGAGGCTGAAGGTTACATGCTTGCTAAAAACTGCTTTATTTATTTATTTACTTACTTACTTATTTTTTGAGACAGAGTCTCACTGTCACCCAAGCTGGAGTGCAGTGGTGGGATCTCGGCTCACTGCAACCTCCGCCTCCTGGGTTCAAACGATTCTCTTGCCTCAGCCTCCTGAGTAAGTGGGACTACAGGTGCGAGCCACCATGTCAGGCTAATTTTTTTATGTTTTTCTCCCCTAGATGGAGTTTCACTCTTGTTGCCCAGGCTGGAGTGCAATGGCGTAATCTCGGCTAACCATAGCCTTCACCTCATGGGTTCAAGCGATTCTCCTGCCTCAGCCTCCCGAGTAGCTGGGAGTACAGGTGCCCACCACCAGCTAATTTTTTAAATTTTTAGTAGAGATGGGGTTTCATCATGTTGGCCAGGCTGGTCTCAAACTCCTGACCACAGGTGATCTGCCTGCCTTGGCCTCCCAAAGTGCTAGGATTACAGATGTGAGCCACTGCGCCTGGCCAATTTTTGTATTTACAGTAGAGCTGGGGTTTTGTCACATTGGCCAGGCTGGTCTCAAACCCTCGACCTCGGGTGATCCGCCCATCTTGACCTGCCAAAGTGCTGGGATTACAGGCACGAGCCACAGCTCCTGGCCTAAAAACAGCATTATTTAAATGCAAATCTAATCTCTCTCCTTCTGCCTAGGAAATCTCTCTTTGCTATTTTCGGTATGCCCATGACCTTTTCTCCAACATAAATTAGTCAAACGCCAGGGTATGCTCTGCTCACTCCATTTCAACCCTCTTTCCTCTACCTGGCACCTGGTAGCTGCAGGATACCTTTCCCATATGTCACTTAGTTCCTGGAGCTAGTCATGTTGGACACCTCCTGAACTTGATATTTATGCCCAATTTGCCTTCAAGAAAACTGGGGTGGTGGGGGTGGAGGTGTGTGTACAAATTTATGTGGACCAAAATTAATAGGATCCTAATCATTTAAACAACATAAGCTGGGTGCGGTGGTGCACACCTGTAATCCCAGCACTTTGGGAGGCCGAAGTGGGTGGATCATGAGGTCAGAAGTTCAAGACTAGCCTGGCCAACATGGTGAAACTCCGTTTCTTCTAAAAAAAAAAATAAATAAATAAACAAAACATAAAAGGCAATCACTGAAAGACTCCCATGCAAAATTAATTCAAAGACCTTAGGATAACTATAAGATGTGTGATCTCACAGGAACAAATTTGATATAAAGGCCATTATTAGGACAACTAACAAAATAAGCTGTATATAAAAGTATCAATATTAAATTTCCTGAGTTTGATAACTGTACTGTCTGTGGTTATATAAGAGAATATCCTTGTTCTTGGGAAATCATACAAATATTAAGGGGTAAAATCTGCAATTTATTCTTAAATGGTTTAGAAATAAGACTTGTGGGCTGGGCGCAGTGGCTCATGTCTATAATCCTAGCATTTTGGGAGGCTGAGGTGGGTGGATCACCTGAGGTCAAGAGTTCAAGACCAGCCTGGTCAACATGGCGAAACGCCATCTTTAAAGAAAAAAGAATTGTGGTGGGAGAGGTAAGAGGATGGGGGAGTAAGAGGAGAAAAGAGAGGACGAAGGACAATGAAAATATGATTTAAAAAAAAAAAGCTGGGTATGATGGCTCTCACCTGTAATCCCAGCTACTCAGGAGACTGAGGCAGGAGGATCACGTGAGGCCAGAAGTTTGAGACCAGCCTGGGCAAGACAGCAAGACTCTGACTCTTAAACAAACAAACAAACAAAATTTCTCCAAACCCCAAATATGACAAAAATAACATAGAAAATTGGTTAATCTGGGATAAAGGGAGTTCTCTGTGTTATTCTTACTCTTTTCTCTAAGTTTTAAATTACTTCAAACTACAGTTTTTTAATTAAAGGCATTAGAAAAGATATTTAACTAAAAGAGGATAATTGAATTGTTTGTAATACAAAGGATAGATGCTTGAGGGGATGAATACTTCATTTTCCATGATGTGCTTATTTCACACAGCATGCTTGTATCAAAACATCTCAGGTTGGGCAATGGAGGCTCAGGCCTGTAATCCCAGCACTCTGGGAGGCTGAGGTGGGTGCATCACCTGAGGTCAGGAGTTGGAGACCAGCCTGGCCAACATGGTGAAATCCTGTCTCTATTAAAAATACAACAAATTAGCCAGGCATGGTGGCACATGCCTATAGTCCCAGCTACTTAGGGGGCTGAGGTAGGAGAATTTCTTGAACCCAGAGGCAGAGGTTGCAGTGAGCTGACATCATGCCAGTGCACTCCAGCCTGGGAAACAGAGGGAGAGTCCATCTCGAAAAGAAAAAAGAAAAGAAAAGAAAAGAAAAATCTCACATACTCCATAAATATATGTACCTACTATATACCCCCAAAATTAAAAATTCTTTTAAAAAAAAGAAAGAAGATTGCCCACGAGTTGGTAATTGTTGAAGCTGGATAGTGGATGCACGGAATTCACTGTAATATTCCCATTACTTTTGTATGCATTTGAAATATTGTTTAAAAAAAGACATTTAAAAAAAGAGAGAGGGCAATTTCTCTTTTTACTGGCTGAAACAGAGTTGTTTTGCAGTCACTTCATTAATTAGTACAGCCATTACAAGCTTTCTTACTCAGAGCCAAAGCTCCCAGATCAGGGTGCCCTGGATTTAGGGACAGTCCCCTTTACAACTGAATGCCTTCAGTGGGACCATGCCAAGCCTTGTAGAACGTGGACTAGACCCACTTAGGGTCCCGATGCCCTACAAACCAAAAGATGAGGCAACTGATGATACACCTGACAATGAACTAGAGAATGAATTAGGTCAGCTGCAAACATTTACAGGGAAGCATGAGGCCAGAGTCTTAAAAGAAATGAGGCCAAGCCTTTATTATTTTTGTACAACTGCGAGTTCAAACCAAAATTTAAACTATAAATAACTGAATGTCAGAGAAGTCTTGGTTTTTCCAACTACAGACACTCACTGCTAGCAAACAAATAAATGTAAAAAAAAAAAAAAAAGGATTGTGACAATTCTAGAGATTTGGAAAGAACCCCTGAAGTTATCCGCAAAGCTGAGCTACCTATCTTCCTTCTCACCAAGAAGCTGAACAGAGCCTAAGGAGGCTTCCTTAAACATGACTCCCTCAGACAAGCCTGGTAACTGGAGGCTTCCTGTGCAGTTTCATAAACCCGAAACTATACCTGCACGTGAGCTTGATGAAACTCTCAAACGAAATTTAAATCAGTAAAACAACTTTAAAGATTCGACTTGAATTTTGAAAACCCCCATTGCAAACAGTCCTCTTACCTTCTTCTGCCAACTCCTTAGTAATGATGAGTTTCCCATGGCGGAGGTAGTTTAGGATAGGACCAAAGTAGGTGGGGTCCCTGTCAATCAGATATGCCCCCGTCTCATCCTGTCAACCAAACACAAGGGTATCATTGTAGAGCTTTGAGGAGCATTTTAAACAAAGGCAGGACAGGGTTTCACCATCTTTGTCAGCGCTCCAAGACAACAATTCATTCCATCAGCTAAAAAAATTTTAGTGATGGCAAGTTTTGCTACACATTTGCTTATCACAAAATATTGGTAAGAAAGCCAGCTTTATACATCTTGTACATGAACATCATCTTAGGTAGGGTGTTACAGACACACGGTCATACTCATTTAGGTGTTTACTTACTGGCTGGAATTCGAAAATCTTTGCCTGGACAATAATTACAATGACAAACATTGTTCTGTAGAGTGTCTGTTATTAAGAAAGGGGGAAATGTCAGAGCTGTGTAATTGAAGTCTTTGCTTGAAATGGACATTCTGACTTCTCCACTGCCCCTGAACTGCATTCCTAATTCTAAGAAAACCTCTGTGTAGCTGGCAATGCTCCTGAGCTCAAGGCCAACATCAGTGGGAGTTTGCACTGCCAGCTGTAATCTCACACACCCCAGCTCTGTGCCCAGAGGAAGCTTGGTACTGCCAGGACTTGGCTCTGAGTAGCTTTAATCCTACTCATCTTTACAGTAAAAGGAACAAGAAGAAACTGCTTCTATTACCACAAGGAAGATATAGGGTAGATAAAAATAATTCCTTTATCAGCAAGGGTTTTGAAGTCTCTTTAAAGTTAGGGCAGTATAGGTTTCCATCAATCTGAGATTTCTTAGAGGACAGATGGGAGAGGAATAAACGAAAACAACGGATGTTTATGCAACCCCAGCTCGGTTTTGAGGGGTGACCAGCCGAGTGCTATATGAGAACTTCAAGGTGAACACGTAAAGTTAAAAATAAATAGACCCAGTTCAAACTGGAAATGATTTAAGTGTCTTGTCATCTCTCAACCCTTTGGTTAGCAGCCATGCATCTTGCCCACCACCACTCTGAGATTTTCATTTTCCTTCTGTCTTAGCCGGTTAGCCTAGATTTGCAACGGCAAACGGTAACCTCTTTCCAAAAAACGCATTTGATCTAAATATGGACCTAAACCAGTCACTGTTACCAGACAAAAGTTCTGCGACCAGGACTATAGGAAAGCAGTATGGTATCACAAGAAGCACTTCCTGCAGCTGTCGAAGCCCAACTTGGCAGAGGGGTCCGAGAGGAAGTCTGAAAAAGCTACAAGGATGCCTGAGCTCAACCTGACCCAGTTCTGGATGCATCTGGCACCGGCAGTGGGGGGCTGAAGAAGAGCCAGGGAAAACTCAGGCAGATCTCAGTGGGATGTCAGGGGCAGAGAATATGGAGAAGGGGTGTGGAGTGCGTTCTTGTGGGTGCGAGTGGGGGCAGTGTGGGAAGGAGTCTCAGAGAACGAACGGTGGGGTCAGGGAGAAAGCCGGAATGTGCCTGAACAGGGGAGAGAATGGGAAGAGGGAGGTCCCTCTGAGGCCCCTGCGCGTAGCGTGGGAGGCAGGCGGAGGTGGGGGTCCAGGCCTGAGGGGGCTGCCTGTGAGGAGCGTGTCTCAGGCCTCTGGGGACGGATCTAGGAGGAATGACGGGGTTCAAAGGCCCGGGGGCGCGCCCGAGGGCGGGGCACACCTTGTCTGAGTCCAGCTCCGGGTCCTCCTGGCAGCAGAGGCGGCAGAGGAAAGACTTGGGTTCCCGGCCTAAGGTCTGTCTGGTGGTCACGAAGTAGGTGCCTCCCACGTTCAGCCTGACCCAGCGGGCCGCGCCGCCGCCCCCTACCCGCTCTGGGGGTCCGGGACCTGGCTCCAGTGGCTGCGCGACGGCGGCGGCCGGGCGGCCGTGCCCGCGGGGCGTGGGGCCAGCCTGGCGTGGGCTGGGAGGCCCGCGGACTGGGCCGCCTCCGTCGCCCACCCCACTCCCGCCGCCCCCTCCCAGCCCCGCCATCGCCGGGTCCAGCTGCAGCTCCGCCATCTTGGGCCACCGCCGCCGCCGTCGCCGCTGCCCGCGCGCAGCCGGGCTGGCCCATTTCTCGGCAGGGAGAGCCGGGCCGGCCCATCGGCGGGGGTGGGGCAGGGGGGAGAGGGACGGGAGCGCCCCCAACCAGCGCCCGGGGACCCGCGCGGCGGAGGCGCTCTGCCCGCCCCCGGGGCGAGACTTCCGAAACCAGCCCTCATTTCTATTGGCTGATATGCGAAATAAGGCCCACCCCCTTGGCTTTGGGGTTGGCTGAGGGAAGACCTTCCGGTGACCCACTTCCGTTACTTGCTGCTGTGGACGATAGGCAGCTGGGGTCGGTGAAGGTGAGTGGGGCTGCGGGCGTTGGATCCCATCCCTGGAGTTCTCCTTTGCTCTGCCCCCTCCAAGCCTCACACTGACCCTTGTCATACATACCTCGTCAGGGACGCCGGGCCCTCGGGTTGCTCCGCTGGCAGAGTGCCCTTTGTGTAGCTGCCGCGCCTCTCCTCGCTATCCCTTCCTCACCCCTCCCGGGCGCGGGGTCACCGGGGCCCGGCTGTGTCCCGGGCGCCGCTGATTTAGGCTTTGCCATAAGTCGTGGCTCGCGCAGTCCGCTCCCAGCGCGGCAGACTTCAATAGTCTTGTTGGGGGACTGGGGAAACGTTACGCAGGTGTTGACTTGCCAAGGGACGCTCAGCGGGCTGCAGGGCTGCGCACTTCCCCATCCTCCGGTGGCTTCCAGGATTCGAACGGGTAGAGCGTTCAGGGCTTCTCAAATGCAGGGTTCAGTTACTCATTCAGGAAAGATTTATTGAGCATCTCCTATGCTCATGACCTGTTCTAGGTGCTGGGGATTAAGCAATAGATTTTCTTTTTTTTTTCAGACGGAGTTTCGCTCCTGTTGCCCAGGCTGGAGTGCCATGGTGCGATCTCCGCTCACCGCAACCTCCGCCTCCCAGGTTCAAGCGATTCTCCTGCCTCAACCTCCCCAGTAGCTGGGATTACAGGCATGCGCCACCACACCCAGCTAATTTTGTATTTTTAGTAGACATGGCGTTTCTCCATATTGGTCAGGCTGGTCTCGAACTCCTAACCCCAGGTGATCCACCCAACTGGGCCTCCCAAAGTGCTAGGATTACAGGCGTGAGCCACCTCACCTGGTCTTTTATTTGTTTAATTTTTTGAGACGGGGTCTCACTCTGTTGCCAGGCTGGAGTGCAGTGCTATGATCTCGGCTCACTGGAACCTCCGCCTCCCGGGTTCAAGTGATTCATGTGAAGGCTTGGATGTTCTGAGATTTAAAAGATTCTCTCTAAGAGCTCTTATTTTGTTACTTATTATTTTTCCCAACTGAAAATTCACCTTGAAAAAAAGCCTTGTTTTGATCTGACTTATTTTTCAGGATTCCAAGATGGCTGGGCGAAAACTTGCTCTAAAAACCATTGACTGGATAGCTTTTTGGGAGATCATACCCCAAAACCAAAAGGCCATTGCTAATTCCCTGAAATCCTGGAATGAGATCCTAACCTCCAGGTCAGTATGTTTCTGAGAGGGAACCCCATACTTGCCACTGGATCTAGAAAGGAAACAGTATTGGCCGGGCGCGGTTGCTCATGCTTGTAATCCCAGCATTTTGGGAGGCCAAGGCGGGTAGATCACGAGGTCAAGAGATTGAGACCATCCTGGCCAACATGGTGAAACCCTGACTCTACTAAAAATACAAAATAATTAGCGGGGTGTTGTGGCATGTGCCTGTGGTCCTAGCTACTCGGGAGGCTGAGGTGGAAGAATCGCATGACCTCAGGAGGCGGAGGTTGCAGTGAGCCGAGATTGCACCACTGCACTCCAGCCTGGCAACAGAGCAAGACTCCACCTCAAAAAAAAAGAAAAGAAAAGAAAACAGTATTAAGGAATTACAAATGAATTCTTGAGGCCCTTCTGACAACATATAAAGAAATTCTTGGATTTTTTTTTTTTTGAGAAAGAGTTTCACTCTTGTTGCCCAGGCTGGAGTGCAATGGTGTAATCTTAGCTCACCACAACCTCTGCCTCACGGGTTCAAGCAATTCTCCTGCCTCAGCCTCCTGAGTAGCTGGGATTACAGGCATGGGCCACCATGACCAGCTAATTTTTTTGTATTTTTAGTGGAGATAGGGTTTTTGTGGGTTTCTTCGTGTTGGTCAGGGTAGTCTCGAACTCCCGACCTCAGGTGATCCACCTGCCCCAGCCTCCCAAAGGGCCAGGATTACAGGCGTGAGCCACCATGCCTGGCCAATCCTTGCATTTTCATTATGATCCTAGGAGAGGAAAGTAATGACTCTCCAGGCCATAGAAAGAAGGGATGGGAAATAGTGAATTTTCTACTGCTTATGAACAATCTTAACTTTGCTTTTCCTTGTGAGCAGGTTGGCTGCTTTACCTGAGAATCCACCATCTATTGACTGGGCTTACTACAAGGCCAATGTGGCCAAAGCAGGCTTGGTGGATGACTTTGAGAAGAAGGTGAGACTTCAGATCTCTAAAGCACTGAGCTTGTAATATGCCTGTGTGTGAGGGGGAGCAGGAATGTGAATAATTACATACGCATGACAGTCAGACCCCTAAGGAAGCTTGGGAAAGATGGCAATGGCCAAAGGCCTTGTGGTAGATTTAACTGTAAATAGGTGCAGCGATTTAGACTCTGTCCATTCAGCAGTACAGTGTAGCCTTAATCTGGGAGCCAGAGGGCTTTCTGATTAGAACAGGAGTTTTGACCTGCTCTGTTTCTGACCTGGGCTGGTTCACACCCTCCTTAGGCAACCTGGTGGTCCCTCACTCCCTGGAGGTCACCATATTGATGCCGAAGTTAGTGCAGACACCTGAACGATATCAGAACTCCTGGGCTCAAGCGATCCTCCTGCCTCAGTCTTCCGAGTAGCTGGGACTACAGGCATGTGCCACCATGCCCCAGAGGGCTTTCAAGTTAAATGTTTGCCCACCTCTTGGGTTCCTTTTAGCTTCCTACCTGACTCCCTTTGTAACAAACTAATGTTTCTTCCACTCTTTTCCTGTCCTTTTTCTTTTTTCTTTTTTTTGGAGATGGAGTCTTGCTCTGTTGCCCAGGCTGGAGTGCAGTGGCGTGATCTCAGCTTACTGCAATCTCTGCCTCCCAAGTTCAAGCGATTCTTCTGCCTCAGCCTCCTGAGTAGCTGGAACTAAAGGTATACACCACCACACCCAGCTAATTTTTGGTATTTTTAGTAGAGACTGGGTTTCACCATGTTGGCCAGGCTGGTCTCAAACTCCTAACCTCAAGTGATCTGCCTGCCTCAGCCTCCCAAAGTGCTAGGATCACAGGTGTGAGCCACTGCGCCCAGCCTCCTGTTTGGTTTTTTGAGACAGGGTCTGGCTCTGTTGCCTGGGCTGGAGTGCAGTAGCGCAGTCTTGGCTCACTGCAACCTCTGCCTCCCAAGCTCAAGCCATCGTTTTACCTTAGCTTCCTGAGTAGCTGGGACTACAGGTGCGTGCTGCCACCACACCTGGCCAATTTTTGTAGTTTTTTCTTTTTTGGTAGAGACAGGGTTTTGTCATGTTACCCAGGCTGGTCTCAAACTCCTGGGCTCAGGTGATCCATCTCTCTGCTCCGTTTTTTTTTTTTTTTTTTTTTTTTTGAGTTAGAGTTTCACTCTGTCATTCAGATTGGAGGTAGTGGCGCCATCTCGGCTAACAGCAACCTCTTTCTCCTGGGCTGAAGGCATTCTCCCACCTCAGCCTCCCAAGTAACTAGGACCACAGCACCACCATGCCCAGCTAATTTTTTGTATTTTTGGTGGAGATGGGGTTTCACCATGTTGCCCAGGCTGGTCTTGAACTCCTGAGCTCAGGTGATCCACCCTCCTTGGCCTCCCAAAGTGCTGGTAGTACAGGTGTGAGCCACCACGCCCAGCCTCTGCTCTGTCTTTTTAACTGTCCCTTATAGCTGTAATTTCTCATCCACCTATCCTCCTCTGATACACATCTCAATATCCAGAGTTCATTTGCTTATTCATTCAAAGATGCTTATGGAGGGCCTGCTCTGTGCCAGGCAGTGTTAAGTGCTGGAGCCATAACACTAGGAAGTCTTCTAAGGAGACCAGCCATTATGCAGCGCTGCTTCCACCAGTCAGCCCTCTAGGATTTCATGCAGAAGAGAAATCAGAATTTTTTTTACAATTCAAGGTGCTAAGAGGTCATTTATTTTGGTCATTAAATCCAGCTGTCCTTTTCACAGGAAAAAAATGAAGCTCATTTTAATAAAGAATTGTCTAGGGTTCCCAGTTTGTGATAGGGCTGAGGAGACCCTTGAGTTCCTGTTCCCAGTCTAATATTCTTTCCAATACAATACTTGAGATGCATGCTGGTATCCGCTTGGGACACAGTATGTCTTTCAGTATGGTCTCTAAGGATTAGTAGCTTCCAGCCCTCTTGGGCTCCTGGGTGTGTTGGCGATGACTCACTGTCCTTGTGTTTGTAGTTTAATGCCCTGAAGGTTCCTATACCAGAGGATCCATATACTGCCCTGGTGGATGCTGAAGAAAAAGAAGATGTAAGTAGTTGAGGCTCTTGCTTATTCTGAAATTCTCTTGATCCTCGCAGCTCTATATTATAGCTGGGTTAAGGTGGAGTGAGTTAAATGGAAAAAGAGTTAACAGCCATAAAAAGAAATGGCTTGTCAGTAAATGCAGCAACAGGGACGAATTTCAAAATAATTATGCTGAGTGAAAGAAGCCAACAAGAAAAAGAAGAGTACAGCATATGATTCCATCTTTATAAAACTCAATTCCACAGAAAACTGAATTAAAAAAAAAACAATTCTAGAAAATGCAGCTAATCTACAGTGGCTGCCTGGGGATCGTTGAGAGGAGACACTGCTGGTTTCACAGGTGGATACAAACATCAAAACTTAGCAATGTGTTCTTTAATTATGTGCATTTTATCATACTTCAGATATACCTCAACAAAGCTGTTAAAAACAAGGAGATGGAATTAGAAAATTTATCCAAGTACTATTCAAATACCTAATTGTTTGCTTGAAAGTGCTGAAGGCCAGACTTTGGAACTCAGTGGCTTCACCAGAGATAAATCTGGCTAGGTGCTCAGGTGGCTTGTCCTGACCATTCAGTGACTGGGCCCTATGAAAACACATTCTGTAGGTCTTCTGGGTGAGGAACTTGGAGAAGCAGCCTGGTGCTGCCATCCTAAGCTGGTTTCTTGTATGGGCTTCTGTGTGTTAGGAAAGCTGTGGGTTGCCTCTCAGAGTGAGCGCCCCCTAGTAGTCAGGGTAACCACGGATTCTCCATAGAGCAGTGGGAAAGCAGGAGTGGGTCTTGGGAGGACTCCTACCTTAGCAGCCACTGGGATAGAAGGCAGCCTGGTTTCAGAACTGAATTTCTTTTTTTCTTAAAGGTGAAGTCTTGTGCTGAGTGGGTGTCTCTCTCAAAGGCCAGGGTTGTAGAATATGAGAAAAAGGTAAGGATGATGGGTAGCCATTGCCTATAATACTGTTTCTCTCTTTCATGGTCACACATCTTTCACCTGGTGGCAGGAGCCCGCCTTGGATATTCTGCTTTCCATCTCTGTTTACTTTAACTAACACATTTCCCCTCTTTCCAGATGGAGAAGTATAAGAACTTAATTCCATTTGAACAGATGACCATTGAGGACTTGAACGAAGCTTTCCCAGAAACCAAATTGGACAAGCAAAAGTATCCCTATTGGCCTCACCAACCAATTGAGAATTTATAAAATTGAGTCCAGGAGGAGGCTCTGGCCCTTATATTACACATTCTGGACATTAAAAATAAAAGTAATTATACAGTTCTGGGTATGTCTTCTACTGTGTGAGTGAGATAGTTTAGCCTCTCTTCTGAGGTGGCGTCACTGGATTTGGGTTTTGTTAAAATGGAAACATGAGCCTAGGGAGGTTTGTTGGGCTGTTTTTCTGACAGACTATGTAGGCACCACTTAGGGAGGCCCCAGGACTACTGAAATGGCAACAGATAACACCAGGGCCTATGGCAGTGTATTTCACTGTGATGTGATAAGGAATTGTTACCTGCTGATTCTCTTCAACTTCCTCTTTGCTTTCAAACCCCTGGTTCCAAGGGAGTGCTCCTGCTTGTCATTATTAAGTCGCAAGAACAGCTGGTCTAAATGGCTAGCTGTAAGAGCAGCTGTTTCGTTTTCTGTGTTCCAGCTTTTGAACATGAAAGTGGTATTAGAAAAGGAAACTTTGGACAGGCACGGTGGCTTATGCCTGTAATCCCAGCACTTTGGGAGACTCAGGCAGGTGGATCACCTGAGGTCAGGAATTGTACACTAACCTGGCCAACATGTGGAAACCCCATCTCTACTAAAAATACAAAAATTAGCCAGGCATAGTGGCTCATGCCCATAATTCCAGCACTTTGGGATGCTGAGGTGGGCGGATCCCCAGGTCAGGAGTTCAAGACTAGCCTGACCAACGTGGTGAAACCTTGTCTCTGATCATCACAGTTCCATTGGGGAGAAAAAAAAAGAAACCTCATCTCTGCTAAAGATACAAAAATTACTCAGACGTGGTGGTGCACACTTGTAATCCCAGCTACTGAGGAGGCTGAGGCAGGAGAATCGCTTGAACCTGGAAGGCAGAGTGAGACTGTCTCAAAAGGGAAACTTTTATGTTGTGAAGTTAACATGCAGCTTTTTGTATTTGAATGTGGAAAATTATTTTAACTTCATCAGTTAAGTTTATTTTATTTATTTATTTCTTTTGAGACGGAGTTTCGCTCTTGTTGCCCAGGCTGGAGTGCAATGGCGCGATCTCAGCTCATGGCAACCTCCGCCTCCTGGGTTCAGGCAATTCTCCTGCCTCAGCCTCCTCAGTAGTTGGGATTACAGGCATGCGCCACCGTGCCCAGCTAATTTTTTGTATTTTTAGTAGAGACGGGGTTTCACCATGTTGACCAGGATGGTCTCGATCTCTTGACCTCCCAAAGTGCTGGGATTACAGGCGTGGGCCACCACGCCTGGCAAGTTTTAAAAAGAAAGAGTTGTCCTTAAAGTCAGAGGACCTGTTATGCCTACCACCTAATTGCTGATTTTAAATTAATCGTTTACTGGCTTGAGACTTTCGTTTTCTCATTTACAAATATCAGGATTGTAATGAGAATTAAATGAGATAACCTGGGAAGTTTCTAGGTAAGAAAGTGAGCAGCCGGGCGTGGTGGCTCATGCCTAATCCCAACACCTGAGGCCGAGGTGGGCGATCACCCAAGGTCGGGAGTTTGAGACCGGCCTGACCAACATGGAGAAACCCCATCTCTACTAAAACTACAAAATTAGCAGGGCATGATGGCACATGCCTGTAATCTGCTCCAGAGGCTGAGGGAGTAGCTTGAACCCAGGAGGCAGAGATTGCAATGAGCCGAGATGATGCCACTGCATTCCAGCCTGGGCAACAAGAGCAAAACTCTCTCAAAAAAAGGTAAGCAAAGGCCGAGTTGATATGGCTTAAATCCTGCATAGGAAAGGGTAGCACACACAGGGGAGATGGGACATTTCTGCCAAATACTGCAGGCGGACTGTATTAGAGAAGAGCAACAATGCCTGAGAAATCTGTAGTCTTATAGAATGTAAGCAGAGGTGAGCCTAGGGGCGTTGCTCCTGATTGGTAGGAATAAGGCTGGGTTGAAGATGGAAGGCACCGGATGGGTGGCGTCTACTCCCCCTGGAACGACTCGAATCAACAATCAGACTGGCCAGAGATGAGAAGCAGTAGCTGTGCAAGGCCTTTAATGTGCACGATGAGTACTACACCCTTCCCCTGCCAGGCTGCAGAGTCACTGAACTGGTAGCCATCCAGCTAAGGATCTGAGGATGCAGACGACAGCCAAGTGACAGCTAGGGGATTTGAGAAAAATCCACAGTTCAGAGCATGATTAGAGCTTGCACTGTTCAAGGAGAGCAATGTGAGTCCCTAGAAGGTGTTAGGATGTGAAGGGGACATCCCCAGCATTCGAGGAAGCCCTTTGGGAGATTTCCTGTGCTAAATAACAGTGAACAAACTAGGAACAGGCTCAGCCAAAGGCACGTGGGCGGGAAGGGGGTACTTTTAAGCACCATGGCTCTTACCTGTAATCCCAGCACTTTGGGAGCCCGAAGCAGGTGAATCACCTGAGGTCAGGAATTTGAGACCAGCCTGGCCAATATGGCAAATTTCCATCTACTAAAAATACTAAAATTAGCCGGATGTGGTGGTAGGCGCCTGTAATTCCAGCTACTCGGGACCTTGCAGGCATCTTTGACTTAGGGCAACCAGCTCTAAACCCCTCTCCTTCCCTATCTGTCTGCGGATGTGACATCACCTCCCTCCAGAATCCTAGGAAAACGTCTCAGGCTCCTCCTAGGCTCTTTAATCCCCCTCAGTCAAGCACCACCCCCCACAGTCCACTTGATAAGAATCTCCTCTTTTACTTTCCTCTGGGTGTCACTGCTGTCACCTGTGTTCAGGCCTTGGTAATTTCCTCCTGAAGCCATCATGCCTCACCCTAAAAGTGGCCTCACTGCCTGTACTCTCACCCACCTTCAATCCATTCTTCATATTGCCGCCAAGGGGAGCTTTTCCAAAAGCAAATTCGTGCACTTGACTCCTCGAGTAAAACCCTCCCCTGGCTCCACACTGCCTACAGGATCAAATGCAGTCTCTCTACCTTGGAGGTAAGGCTCTTAGGCCCTCTCTTATGCACTGTTCTCCTCCCATTATAACCTCAGCAAATTGCTAACTGTACCTCCTACTCCACACTTCCCATCAAGCATTTGCAATTCCTGCTCACACTAAAAGATTAGAAAGATCTAGAGGCTTCTAGAGCATTCTTTGTTGAGTGCTGGCACTGTACCTTAGTCATACATTCCTCAGGGACTAACACTGTGCTTGACACTTAGAAGAATTTTAATGTAAATTTATTATGAATAAAAGAGAAGAGGCTGGGTATGGTTGCTCACATCCGTAATCCCGGCACTTTGGGAGGCCAGTGTGGGAGAATGGCTTGAGCTCAGGAGTTTGAAACCAGGCTGGCCAACATGGCGAAACCCCATCTCTACTAAAAATACAAAAATTAGCTGGGTGTGGTGGTGGGCATCTGTAATCCCAGCTACATAGGAGGCTGAGGCATGAGAATCACCTGAACCCAGGAGGTGGAGGTTTCAGTGAGCCGAGATCTTGCCATTGCACTCTAGCCTGGGTGACAAGAGCGAGACTCACAAAAACAAAACAAAGCAGTTTACTAAAGTATAATAAAATGCATACATTATTGAGAACATCATTTCAGAGCTCTGATGTTTTACAAGGGAACAGACCCATTCCCGTGGGAAACAGAATTGAGCAGCTCCCCAAAGCGCTTCTGAAGTTCCCCCAACACAGGGTAGCACCATTGTCACTTCTTTTCACCTACTCCCTCCACTCCTTCCTCCCATCCATCAACCCCCTTCCTCCCTCTCAGGGTTGCTGTGAGGGTTATGAGTAAAATGAAGGCTTTTTTTGGGCAAACTCTGAATGCCTGATGACATCTCTTTGACCCAGCAGCCCGACTCTCCGCTCTTCCTTGGCTCCTCTGCCCGAGTCTGAGAGGCCCCACCAAGCTCCCACTGGCTTCAGGCCAAGCCTCAGCAGCAGGATAGTGGAGGGAAAAAGGAAGATGAAGGTGGGCATTTATTCCCTCGGCTCCCTCCCTGTGATATCAAGGTAGCCGTGGGCTCTCTGCATCTCTGGACTCTTAGCTCCTGGGGGCGACTCTCAATACCCAATCTCCAGGTTCCAGGAGCTGCTGCCTTTTGTGACCCTTCAGGCCTGGTGATGAGGACAGCTCATCACTAATGCCCATCCTGGAGTCCTCACGTTTCCTTACACCTGCCCGTACGAAACGGGACTCCTTTAAACGCTCCTTGGATTACCCAGTGGGAATGTGCCATCTTCTTCATGCCAGACTCTGGTACAAAGATTGGCATTTATTCTGCCCGATGTCCAAATACCCTTGCACACACATGCATCCTGGCACCCTCTTCCAAGCATAGGGCAGTGGGGTGGTGGGTGCCGTATCACTGTAGACAGAGCCACTAGCAGGACTGAGGCCACAGAGTTGGGCTGCACCCCCATTGCCCTTGAGTCCAGGGACTGAGTTCTGTCTGCTGTTTAACTGCAATACAATAGATTGAAACATAACCCGCTCCATTTCAGTTGCTTGTGGGTTTGTAGCTTGTAGAACACATTCAGGAGGTGAATGTTTGAATGTTGAACTCATTCCAGGTACCAGCTAAGAGAGGCAAAAAGAAATGGGGCCCGACTTGCTCTCACGTTGGTTTGAAGTCTGGCTTCATACAGAAGAAAAGGAAAATTAATTGAAATAGACATATGCACAAAATGTAGCTAAGTATTATTAAAAAGACAAAATGTGCCAGTTGGTTTTTGTTTTTTACATTACAGATTTTTTTTCTTTTGAGACAGTCTTTTTCTGTCGCTAGGATGGAGTGCAGTGGCATGATACTGGCTCACTGCAACCTCCAACCCCCTGGTTCAAGTGATTCTTCTGCCTCAGTCTCCCAAGTAGTTGGGATTACAGGCACAGGCCATCATGCCCTGATAATTTTTGTACTTTTATTAGAGACGGGGTTTTACCATGTTGGCCAGGATAGTCTCAATCTCCTGACCTTGTGATCTGCCCACCTCGGCTTCCCAAAGTGCTGGGATTACAGGTGTGAGCCACTGTGCCCAGCCTAGATTTTTTTCTTTTTTTTTTAAGAATTACTTTTATTAAAGTGGGTTTTAAAAACAGCGCCAGCAACACAACCCCAGGTGAGTTTCAAACTCCAAACAGCCAATTTCAGAGGTCAGTGCTTAACCATTAGACCACCAGAGATTCACAATGTAGATAACTGATCACATGTGTCTTAGATGGAGACGCCACAGGCTGATCAATGACGTAGTAAGCAGAAGGGTCCCGGGTGCAAAGCCTGATTGGACAGAAGCAGCTTCCCAGCTTCGGATCGCGAGAACCGCGGTGTGGAGGGATCGGGAGGCATTTCTGGGTCCAAAAAAGAAGAGACGGAAATTATAGTTGCATGGATTAAAACATTTCCGACCACGAAGGGACTCGAACCCTCAATCTTCTGATCCGAAGTCAGACGCCTTATCCATTAGGCCACGCGGTCTCCTATGGTGCATACCTGCCCAGGAGACTAATTTGGTGATTGTTAAACGCTCCCGCGTGACGCGACTACCGCCCTTACAACCCTGGCCGCCTATAGCGAAGCGCTGGCTCTCTTCTCCGGCCCCAGCTGCTCAAGCAGCCACCCCCGAGCGACGCAGCACCCGTCCCAGTTTCTAAGCCTCGCTAGGCACTGTGGCTGCGTCACCTAACGGATAAGGCGTCTGACTTCAGATCAGAAGATTGAGGATTCCAATACCCGCGTGGTGGCGCTCCTTTTGAGCGAGCAGCCCGTGCCCCAACCCCAGCATAGTTTGCAGGTTTGTTCTTCCCTCTGTCCTCGTCCCTGCGTATTCCTCACAGCTGCGCTCCACTGTGTTGGGCGCTTGCCGAGCACTTCCTCTGGGCTATGGCGCATTGCAGGCTCCTGGTCCCCGCGCGTCACCGCCGCGTGGAGCTCTTTAGTAGCTTGGTGGGGATGACGCGCCCGGCGAGCAGCCCATCCGGTTGTCCGGATGGCTTCTCGAGCTTGCAGCGCGGTTACCCACGGCAAGGCCGTGTTTGGGCACGTGCTGTTGAACACCTATCACGGAGCACGTGGGTCAGGCGTCTTACCGCGCCCCAGTGGCCTAATGGATAAGGCACTGGCCTCCTAAGCCAGGGATTGTGGGTTCGAGTCCCACCTGGGGTGGTGAGGGGGCTGTGCTCCCAAAGTCGCTTTTGGTACGGGGAACCAGTGACCTCCACCACCATCCGCTGGCTTCCTGCTTGCATCTGCCCTGTCTACGTCCCACGCCTTCTCCTGCAGGACCCTTTCTTTGCAGCCGCCGTAGTCAGTCATTGACCCCTGGTTCTCCGGGGCTGCCCCACCAGGTAGAATTGAGGTATCCTGGGAACCCTCTGAGCAACTTTATTCTCCCGAGTTCCCCCAGATTCAAAATTGTGGCGCCCTGCCCTGACGAAAGCTGTACATTCGAGGGCTTGGCGTGACCCGCGCTTACCGGCTTTAGGTGCTTGGAGGAGGTGGCTCCACCTCAACGCGTTGCACGGGAGTCGAACCAGAGACCCAGGTCAATTCCAGCGTCCCTGAGAAGGAAAGAAAAAGGAAATAAAAGATCCTTCAAAAAGTTGTCACTTTTTGGCCGGGCGCGGTGGCTCACGCCTGTAATTCCCAGCACTTTGGGAGGCCGAGGCGGGCGGATCACCTGAGGTCAGAAGTTTGAGACCAGCCTGGCCAATATGGTGAAACCTGCTCTACTAAAAATACAAAAATTAGCTGGACGTGCTGGCGTATGCCTGTAATCCCAGCTACTCTGGAGGCTGAGGCAGAAGAATCGCTTGAACTCGGGAGACGGAGGTTGCTGTGATCCGAGATGTGCTCGCTGGATCACTCCAGCCTGGGCAACAGAGAGAGACTCCGTCTCAAAAGAAACTATTCGTTAGTTTTACCCCAGGTGGGACTCGAACCCACAATCCCTGGCTTAGGAGGCCAGTGCCTTATCCATTAGGCCACTGGGGCTTGTGGCACGTGACTGCAACATTCCTTACTTTCATAAGCGGGTGGCCCCTTCTAGACAAGGCCTGAGAGAGGCGCGATCCATCGAGTGGGCTCCGTCCCTGTGGCACGCACGTTTGGTGAGCGGGCTGGAGGATACCGCAGTGTGCGGGGACCTGCCCCCCCACCTCCCCGTTTAGCAAGCACCAGACCCCTCCCGTCCCCGCTTGCCTCCCCCACCCCTACACTGGACGCTCCATGGAGTCTGGAGGGTCCCCTCGGAGGTTGCTTGCACACCCGGACCATGGGGTATGAAGACTGAGGTTTGGAGGGGTCTCCTTCCTACTGCCCTGGGCCTTTCTGTCCACCTCTACAGAACTGATTAAAAAATCCAGGAATTTTAGGAAAAAGTAGCATAGGAAGTGAAGGAGAACAGAGAAGTATTAATCACGAATATTGAAACATAAACACTGAAAATCTTGCTTACCATGAGGGAATGTACAACGGGGGGAGCAAGTCCTTCCAGTTATAATAGAAATACATAGTTGGAAGGGAAAATCAGCCAAGTAGCCATTTCACCCTAATTCTAATAAAGAATAAGCAGATTTTAAAATGTTACACACATTTAAAATCCATTATTAAAGGCTACAGGCCGGGTGCTGTGGCTCACACCTGTAATCTCAGCACTTTGGAAAGCCGAGGTGGGCGGATTGCTTGACCCCAGGAGTTCAAAACCAGCCTGGCAACATAGCGAGACACCGTCTCATTAAAAAATAATAATAAAAAATAAAAAATAGGGCTGCTACCGTCTCGTTTCCGCACTTGACCTCTCCCAGGACTCGTGATGCCAAGGCAGCTGCGAGTGGCTACCAAGAGTCGGGGTTGAGCCCCAGCTGAGCCAAGGGCCCGCCCCACCTGAAGAAATGAGTGGTGGATTGGCTCCAAGTAAGAGCACCGTGTATGTATCCAACTTGCCTTTTTCCCTGACAATGACTTGTACCAGATATTTTCCAAGTATGGCAAAGTTGTAAAGGTTACCATAATGAAAGATAAAGATACCAGTAAGAGTAAAGGGGTTGCATTCATTTTATTTTTGGATAAAGACTGCACAAAACTGTACCAGGGGAATAAACAGCAAACAGTTATTACGTAGCGTGATAAAAGCAAGCATTGCTATTGACAATGGAAGAGCAGCTGAGTTCATCCCAAGGCGAAACTACTTTGATAGATTTAAGTGTTATGAATGTGGGGAAAGTGGACACTTAAGTTATGCCTGTCCGAAAAATATGCTTGGAGAACGTGAGCCACCAAAGAAGAAAGAAAAAAAAAAAGAAAGCTCCTGAACCAGAAGAAGAAATTGAGGAAGTAGCAGAAAGTGAAGATAAAGGGGAGGATCCTGCTCTTGACAACCTCAGTCGGGCTGTAGCATTCCAATAAGCCAAAATTGAAGAAGAACAAAAATGGAAACCCAGTTCAGGAGGCCTTTCAACATCAGATGATTCAAGATGCCCAGGGATAAAGAAAAGCACATATTTCAGTGATGAGGAAGAACTTAGTGACTAAAATCTTACCCTAGCACAGTAATAAAAATCAAGATTCCTTAGTAACAATCTTGAAGAGCTAATTTTAGTAAAAGGAAGAAAAGTTAATACTATCATGTTAATACTATTGTCATCTTAAGAAAAAAGATATTTTAAAAATTTATTTGAGAAGTTCATCATAAGGGCCTTATCCATATCTGATTTGTTTACATGAGGACTTCTGAAATTTAATCCTTAAAAACTTCCTGAAGACCAAAAAGTTGAATGATTTATTGTTACTTATGTTAATAAACATTTCAAGAGAATTTTGTCTTTAAATATGGGTGGTTTTTTTTGTCATATTTCTTGTAGCCTTATCCCAATCTGGATAAATTATAAATACCTATAAAATATAAAGTAACATAGCTCTAAAAGGGTTAAAATCAAACACAGGTATGATTTGTCTGCCTTACCCACAGCACCAAATTCCATTCCCTAGAAGAAACTACTCATATGTGCACACATTGCTAAATAAAATACATATATTTCTGTCACTTAATAAAAGAATAAAGGAGAAAAAAATTAAAAAATAAAAAAAGTCTTACGCACAGCTGAAGGATTTAACAGTTCAGCTGAGGGCAGCATCTGTCCCCATTGTGCTTGTCTTGGGACCTTGCCCATCTGCTCCAGCATCGCAGGGCAAAGGAGACGTGGGGACATTCTTTTCTGTTTCTCTCCAAAATAGTCTGCAGAAACCTGTCTCCTCCCCTTAATATCATCAGCAAGAAGGATTTAACCCACCTGGCTCCAGTTTACTGCCTTGAGGATGCCCTCATTTAAGTTAACTAACTTGTCCATTGCTGGAACGCAGCACTCTGTTCCAGGGTCAACCTGCAGGGATGCCTTCTCTGCTTTCCCACCACCACCCTCTAGCCAGGCGTCCGTCCCCCCGACCCCAGCCCCCACTCAGCCTTGCCTCGCTCAGCTGCTCCTGTTCATCCCCAGGAGTCCACTTGTCTCCCTGGGTCTTGGATCTTCCAGCTCCAGCCTCACGCCCGGCTCCAGCACTCCATTCCCTCTCCTGGGTATCACCACTGGGCACTCCTCCTCACAGGCAAAATCACGCTGATCCAGCTGTCCTCCCAAGGCCACTCCCCTTCATGATGTTCATGTGTGAGTGCACAGCATCACCCATGTCACGCCCCTCACTCCCACACCACCCAGGCCAATTTTCTGTCCTCATAATCCTCCAGCATCTGGTATTTCCTCCCCACCGCTGCTGCTGCCGCCCTAGTTCCAGAGCGTTTCCCTGACTGTTCACGTGAGGTCAGTTGCCATCCATGCACACCTTCGTACAGCCTCTCTTCATTCTGTCATGGGCAGAGCAGCCTTCCTGCCACAGCCTCTGTAGGGGAAAGACTAAATGTCTCAGCTATCACTTTTAAGTCCTTTCTAGACCTGGATCCCAGTCAATTGGCAGACTTATCTTTCACAGCTCCTTGTCCTCTGGGTTCCAGCCAAACTGGGCTAGAAATCCTGGCAGACATTCCCCCCCAGGTACCAGCTCAGTGCCACTAACCATGTAGTTATTCACTGAAATCCCACAATAACCCTAAGAGGTAGGTGCTAATAACATAACCCCTAGTTTAGGCTGAGCTCAGTTGCTCATGCCTGTAATCCCAAGGCAGGCTGATCACTTGAGGTCAGGAGTTTGGGACCAGCCTGGCCAACATGGCGAAAACCCATCTCTACTAAAAAAAAATACAAAAATTAGCTGGGTGTGTTGGTGGGTGTTTGAGATCCCAGCTACTTAGGAGGCTGAGGCAGGAGAATTGCTTGAATCCAGGAGGTGAAGGTTGCAGTGAGCTGAGATTGTGCCATTGCACTCCAGCCTGGGTGACGGAGTGAGATTATGTCTCAAAAAAAACCAAAAAACAAAAACCCTAGTTTATAGGTGGGGAAACGTAAGGTTCAGAGAGGTTAGGTAGCGGCTGGGGCGGTGGACGGGTGAGCGCTGACCCATGCAGTCCACTTCAGGGCCCATTCTGTCAATCACAAATTTCCTGTCCAGCCATAGGCAGGCCTTGGAGTTGCCATTTTCCTAGCCTTTGCCGTTGGCCACCACTGGAGCCTCCAAGTGACATGCTCTTACCCTGCCAGTTCCTCCCCTCCCTTCAGGCCCATCTCAAGCACATCCTCTCCCACCCTCCAGCTGAGCTAGTCACTCCTCTGCCTCCTGCAATCTACTGAGACCTTTCTTTTGTCATTCATCATGCTTTGGGTCTTGCTACTGGAACGGGAATCCACTTTTCCTCTCAGCTTTTACTATCACCTGATCGAATGTCAGTTCTCTGGGAGAAAGCACTTCTGCTTTGTTGGCTTCTGACTCCTCCCCACCTCATGCTGTGAGTGCCTGGTATTCACTTAGCGCTTACTGAATTACGGAATGAACTGGTAAATGTATATCCTGCATACGAGCCTCGGTCCCCTCCCAGGCTCTGAGTCCCTTGAGGACAGGGACCACGTCTTACACATTTTTAATTTACATTAAAGGAGCCATGCTGATATCTGTATCATTCTAATTTTAGTACATGTGCTGCTGAAGTGAGCAAATGTTTGTATTTTGTAAGTCATTTATAAATGATTTTTCCTCTTGTTTAGGCTCATGTGCTCACATAAACTAGATCAAAAGCATATAGAACAGTTTAAGAAATTCATACATGCTAGAGCAATCTACTAGTGCAATGCTAGCCTGAGGGGATTGTAAAAATCTCCTTCCAGTTCCAACTTAATTCTTCTTGCCTCTAAAACCCACTGCCTAACACGGCACCTGACACACAATACTTCTCATTCAAGACACCCGGTGGTTTTTTTACCCATGTCTCTTAAAACCTAAATGCCTTGGCCTGGCACAGTGGCTCACACCTGTGATCCCAGCACTTTGGGAGGCTGAGGTGGGCAGATCACCTAAGGTCAGGAGTTCAAGACCAGTCTGGCCAACATGGTGAAACCCTGTCTCTACAAAATACAAAAATTAGCCGAGTGTGGTGGCAGGCGCCTGTAATCCCAGCTACTCAGGAGGCTGAGATGGAAGAATCGCTTGAACCTGGGAGGTGGAAGTTGCAACAAGTTGAGATAGTGATGTTGCACGCCAGCCTGGGCCACAGAGCGGGACTCTGTCTCAAAAACAAAAACCCTAAACTCTTTAACTTGAATTCAAACCTCTCCAGGCTCACTTCCCAGAATCGCCCTGCACGAATCCACCATTCAGTGTCTCTACCTTCCTCGACACCTCCTCCACCCCTGCCTCTTCTCTGTCTCCTGTGTTCATAGTGTCCCCTTCAAATGTATGTCCTCCTCCACTCTACTGATGAAAGTCCTGTACCTTTTCCACAGCCAAGCTCAAATGCCCACTTGCCTGTCTCAGCCCTCCTACCTGGCTGTATGTGTGGTTTTTGTGTTTTTTTTGAGATGAAGTCTTGCTCTGTGGCCCAGGCTGGAGTTCGGTGGTGTGATCTTGGTTCACTGTAAACTCTGCCTCCTGGGTTCAAAGGATTCTCCTGCCTCAGCCCCTGAGTAGCTGAGATTACAGGTGCCTGCCACCATACCCAGCTAATTTTTGTATTTTAGTGGAGACAGGGTTTCATCATGTTGGCGAGGCTGGTCTTGAATTCCTGACCTCAGGTGATCTGCCTGCCTCAGCCTCCCAAAGTGCTGGGATTACAGGCGTGAGCCACTGTGCCCAGTGGGTCATTATTATTATTATTTTTTGAGACACGGTCTTGCTCTGTGTCTGAAGTGCAGTGGTGCCATTATTGCTCACTGCAACCTTAAACTCCTGGGCTCAAGTGATTCTCCTGCCTCAGCCTCCCGAGTAGTTGGGACTATGGACATGTGCCACCATGCCCGGCTAATTTTTGTATTTTTCTGTAGAGATGAGGTCTCACTATGTTGCTCAGGCTGATTTTAAACTCCTGACCTCGTGTGATCCTCCTGCCTTGGCCTCCAAAGTGTTTAGATTACAGGCGTGAGCCACCACGCCTGGCCCGTGTGTTTCACAGCAGACACCAGAACCCTTTCCTGTTCCTGGGTGCTGGGTCAACAACTGAGGCTAATTCAACTGAGAGAGAAGGTAGGAATTGCTTTCTGAAGCATTCTAAGTGAGAAGGGAATGCTATGAGTTTTGAGTTTTATTGTGGCTAATACATCAGATGCATTATTAAGGTTGGACAACATGGTGACTGCCTGGAAAGACCTTTGCAACCAGTGCCTGCAACCTTCATTCCCAATGAACATTCTTGTGATGGCTCCAATGTTATCAACAAGCATTAACAGTCAACAAGAGAAAAGGAAATCTCCTTATGGTGTGAAAGGCCTCTCAGCTGCAGCTGCCGGGATGCCCAGAAGTGCCTTCCAGCTGCAGAGGGTGATTTCAGTCCATGTCGACCCTCCTGCTTGTCTTTATGGCAGAATGAATTCTCTTTTGTCTCAGCCTTTCCCGATTCATGCTTTCTATCCTGAAAACAAAAAGACTGCAATTAGGCCCAGATGCCCAATCAGTGCTTTTCAAAGTGGTGAGAGGAGTTGGAAGCTCAACGGGAAGCTGAGCAGTTTACCAGCAGGCACTAGAGCCGGGCCTGCGTCCCAAGTCAGCGTCCCCTCCTCTTCCTAGAGCTTCTCTCAGGGCACGTCCTGGACTTTCCTCTGCCCCTTTCTTACCTGTGTAGACTATCGTCCACACAAATCAGTGTATAGCAGCTTAGGACATTTCCCGGTACCTGAGTCTCTGAAGTTTATTATCTTCTTTCGATGGCTCCTTGGGTGTCTGGCTGGCCTCAGTGATCATGTCTCGAATTTTCTGCAGGCAATCTGCCAGATTCCGGAACTGATAGCGGCTGCTCTCAGAGGTGAGGATCAACTCTCCTGACCTGTTGATCTTGTTTTTGTGCTGCAGAGAACAAAGGAAAAACCGCATTCCTACAGAGTAAAGGTTTAAAAGCCACTGAGGGATTTCTAGAGAAAGAAAGGGATGGTGGTTACCATGATGGCTATCTTCTGCCTCACAGGCTCTGCGATCCAGTCAGCGGTTGCCAAGTGGAACCTGACTTCCGCCTTGGAATTCACTGTGGATGAAAGGGAGAAGGGAGCATGGGTGCCTGAGACTTCCGGGAAGGATCAACCCCTGGATGACCAGTGACCATCCTGAAACAAAGGGATGCCAGACACCCAACCATGTACATTCTAGCTTACGTCCAAGTTGGCTATGAACAAGCCTGCGAAGACAGTGAGGCACTTCTGTACAAAAATAGACTTCCAGTAACTAAGTGTCTAGTGCTTCTCTTACAGTTTAACTGGGTCCAAAAAAAAATGGAGGGAATGGATTTCACCAGAATGAAGGAAAGCTGTTCTTGGAGCTGGCTGCCACCTCACACTGTGATTTCCCTTTGTTTAGACTCACAAGCCAATCCTAGTCCTAGCAACCCACAGCTGAACGTCTGAGAATCAGACCACATTCAAAAGAATAAAGAGGATTATTATAAACTGGCAGTACTTAAGCTTCTGCTGAAAATTCCCTTTATTCCATACAATCATAAACACAGGGCTCCTGAAGCCCATCTCCCAACTACATTTGAAAGCAAAAGAAAGCAACGAGGCACCCCGTACCTTTGTTCACATTCTGCCCCCCAGGACCACTACTCCGACAATAAGATATTGTCAAGCGATCTGTAAAATAGAAGAAAGTACACACGCAAAACTGATTACCTCCTGGCAAACGTGCAAACCACTAATTTACTATCAACATCATTATCCCTATTATGTATCTTTCTCTTTCAATGACTTTTATATACAGTCATCCCTCAGTAGCTGTAGGCGATTGGTTCTAGCAACCCTGTGGATACCAAAATCCACGAATGCACAGTCCGTGATATAAAATAATGTAGTATTTGCAAATAACCGGTACACATCCTCCTGCATACTTACAACTAGATCACTTATAACACCTAATACAGGCCAGGTGCGGTGGCTCACGCCTATAATGCCAGCACTTTGGGAGGCTGAGGCGGGTGGATCACGAGGTCAAGAGATCGAGACCATTCTGGTCAACAAGGTGAAACCCTGTCTCTACTAAAAATACAAAAATTAGCTGGGCATGGTGACGCATGCCTGTAGTCCCAGCTACTCGGGAGGCTGAGGCAGGAGAATTGCTTGAACCCAGAAGGCGGAGGTTGTGGTGAGCCGAGATCGTGCCATTGCACTCCAGTCTGGGTAACAACAGCGAAACTCCGTCTCAAAAAAAAAAAAACAAAAAACACCTAATACAATATAAACACTATGTAAATAGTTGTTACACTGTATTGTTTAGGGAATAATGAGAAAAAAAATTCTGCATAAGCTGCAAACATCTTTTTCTTTTTCAGTTTTTTTTTTTTTTTTTTTTTTTTTTTTTACAGACAGGATTTCACTCTGTCACCCAGGATGGAGTGCAGTGACATGATCATAGCTCACTGCAGCCTCAAACTCCTGAGCTCAAGTGATCCTCCTGCCTCAGCCTCCCAAGTAGCTAGGACTTCAGGCATGTGCCACCATACCCTGCTGATTATTTTTTACGTTTTTTTTTTTTTTTTTGTAGTTATAGGGTCTTGCTATGTTGCCCAGGCTGTTCTTGAACTTCTGGGCTAAAATGATCCTCCCAAAGTGTTGGGATTACAGGTGCGAGCCACTGTGCCCAGCCTCTTTTTCAAATATTTTTGATTGACAGTTGGTGGAATCCATAGACGTAGAACTCCCAGATGTTACTTTTATATATACCCAACTGTATATATAAAACTAACATTCAGATCAGTGAAGCTGGAAGTTATTCACAGATGTCAAAACTGAAATCAGAGCAAGTGACTTTCCCAAGGTCACAAGACAGTAAAGAAAGTAAAATCAGGACTTGGTTGTATGCTTCTACTCCCATACATTCCCCCTGATCTGCTGCCCTCGCTTTTTCCTGCTTGTTTTCTGTTTGTTTCCAAGCAAGGATCATTTCAAAAGTTCAAACTAAGGGACAGAGTTAGTTTCATCCCAGATGTGGCGGATGTGGAATCTCAATAGATTATAAGCTCCAAGAGGGCAGAACTGTACCTAATTCATGTGTGTTCATGGGTGTTCCCCAGGCCTAGATCATAGTTAGTGTTAAAACATCTGTTGGAGGCCGGGTGCAGTGGCTCATGCCTGTAATCCCAGCACTTTGGGAGGCTGAGGCGGGTGGATCACGAGGTCAAGAAATCGAGACCATCCTGGTCAACACGGTGAAACCCCGTCTCTACTAAAAATACAAAAAATTAGCTGGGCATGGTGGCACGTGCCTGTAATCCCAGCTACTCAGGAGGCTGAGGCAGGAGAATTGCTTGAACCTGGGAGGCGGAGGTTGCAGTGAGCTGAGATCGCGCCATTGCACTTCAGCCTGGGTAACAAGAGCGAAACTCCGTATCAAAAAAAAATCTGTTGGATGAATGAGGAGCTGGGAGCTCTAGCTTCAAACACTGGCTTGATCATGAAGTGACCATGATCTTGGCAAAGTCTCACTGTTTTTTCTGGGTCTCATTTTTGTTTGTTTGTTTTAAATTTAAAAATTTTTTTTAGAGACGGGGTTTCACCATGTTGGCCAGGTTGGTCTTGAACTGCTGACCTCAGGTAATCTACCCGCCTCAGCCTCCCAAAGTGCTGGGATTACAAGCGTGAGCCACCACGCTTAGCCTTGTTTGTTTTTAGTCTGTAAAATGAGGTTTCATCCTTCCCCTTTAATAATTAATGAAAAGCAGTCTTGTCATGTCTGAGGAATGTAAGGAAGGCATGATATTGGGAAGATTTCAGAGGACTGGATGGTAAATCGCAAGAATTTTGCATGGCAAAGAACTGTGGCACCATGGTGGTAGAGAGCTGGCCTCCGTGAGGGGTAGTGACTTATCTTGGGACTGCTTTTAAGAGGATTTACTTCTTTGAAAATCAAGTTTTATTTCTGAGAGAGGGTCTCACTCTGGCATTGAGGCTGGAGTCCAGTGGCACAATGACGGCTCACTGCAGCCTCAACATCTTGGGCTCAAGCGATCTCCTGGCTTCAAGGGATCCTTCCGCCTCAGCCTCCCAAGTAGCTGAGACTACAGGCAGGCATGGCTTCAAGCTATAAAACTGCTTCGCTGCAGTGTGTAGTGGCTCCTCAGCCACAGGGTGTCCAGTGGGTTGCAGTCACCTGGCCTCTGTTTTAGAGTCACTCTGTCAAGCATCACAGGCAACCAGCATCTTTGGCTGCTCTTCCTTGCACTGTCTATGGAAGTCATACACTCTCTGAGTCTAAAAAAGGCTCATTGTTTCTTTATAGGCTATAACTGTTAGGCTATAAACTTGCTTATGGTTGACAGCTACAGATTTTTTTTTTTTAATATTTAAAACATATTCTATCATAGCTACAATATTTTAAAGTTATGCAAATGGTTTATTTACATGGAAATGTCTCTCACTCCTGTCTTTTGTTTTTTGAGATGGAGTTTCCCTATTGTTACCCAGGCTGGAGTGCAATGGCACGATCTCGGCTCACTGCAACCTCCGCCTCCTGGGTTCAAGCAATTCTCCTGCCTCAGCCTCCCGAGTAGCTGGGACTACAGGCGCGCACCACCATGCCCAGCTAATTTTTGTATTTTTAGTAGAGACAGGGTTTCACCATGTTGACCAGGATGGTCTCGATCTCTTGACCAGGATGGTCTCGATCCACCCGCCTCAGCCTCCCAAAGACTCCTGTCTTCTTATCTCTCTATTCCTCAAGGCAGTCACAGTATCCAGGGTGTTCCTTTCAAATGTGTGACACACACACACACACGCCTCCACACAGATATAGATAAAAATATAGATACACAAATATTGATACAGATATTTAGAAATAGATATGTCAGGCTGGGCACAGTGGCTCACACCTGTAATTCCAGCGCTTTGGGAGGCTGAGGCGGGCAGATCATGAGGTCAGGAGTTTGAGGCCAGCTGGCCAACATGGTGAAACACCATCTCTACTAAAGATGCAAAATTAGCTGGGCATGGTGGCATGTGCCTGTAATCCCAGCTACTCGGAAAGATGAGACAGGAAAATTGCTTGAACCCGGGAGGTGGAGGTTGCAGTGAGTTGAGGTTTTGCCATTTCACTCCAGCCTGAGCGATAGGGCAAGACTGTGTCTCAAAAACAAACAAACAAAAAAGAAATAGACATTTCAGAGGTATAGATACGTAAAACACAAATGGTAGCTTATAAATTCTCCCGCGTCTTTCTTGTTTAGTTCATCTATCGTGGAGAGTGCTCCAGGTCATGAGAACATTAAGAGCTCTCCACTCATGCAGTATATTGAGTACATTGCAGAGTACGATGTGAGTGGCCACGCTCGAATGAATCATGATTCATTTCTTATTCTAAATAATGTTGCAAAGATTCTACTTTTCACACCCAGAGATAGGCTCTTTACTTTAATTGGGATGGAGAAATCTGGAAGGAATGTGTGAGAGATGCTCTGAAATGACTGATTTCTTTTTTTTCTGAGACAGAGTCTCGCTGTCTCGCCTAGACTGGAGTGCAGCGGTGCAATTTCAGCTCACTGCAACCTATGCCCCCCAAGCTCAAGTGATTCTTGTGCCTCAGCTTCCCGAGTAGCTGGGATCACAGGCACCCACCACCATACCTGGCTAATTTTCGAATTTGATTAAATCAATCAATCTATTTATTTATTTTCTTCTTCTTTTTTTAATATAAAGATGGGGTTTCACCATGTTGGTCAGGCTGGTCTTGAACCCCTGACCTCAGGTGATCTGCCCACCTTGACCTCCAAAGTGCTTGGGTTACAGAAGTGAGCCACCACGCCCGGTCTATTTATTTTTGAGACAGAGTCTCATTCTGTTGCTCAGGCTGGAGTGCAATGGCAGGATCTTGGCTCACTGCATCCTCTGCCTCTGGGTTCAAGTGATTCTCCTGCCTCAGCCTCCCAAGTAGCTGGGATTACAGGCACTTGCCTCACACCTGGCTAATTTTATATTTTTAGTAGAGATAGGGTTTCACCCTGTTGGCCAGGATGATCTCAAACTCCTGACTTCAGATGATCCACTCGCCTCCGTCTCCCAAATTGTTGGGATTACAGGTGTGAGCCACTGTGCCTGGCCTAATTTTTGTATTTTTAGTAGTGATGGGGTTTCACCATGGTGGCCTGGATGATCTTGATCTCCTGACCTCAGATGATCTACTCGCCTTAGCCTCCCAAACTGTTGGGATTACAGGTGTGAGCCACCATGCCTGGCCAACTGACTTTTTTTTTTTCAGACAGAGTTTCACTTTTGTCGCCAGGCTGGCATGATCTTGGCTCACTGCAACCTCCACCTCCTGGGTTCAAGCGATTCTCCTGCCTCAGCCTCCTGAGTAGCTGAGATTACAGACACATGCTACCACACGGCCAACTGATTTTTAAGAAAACAAAATTACTTACCTAGAGGGATGTCATTGTCGGCTTGCTTTGCACCATCCTGTAACGTAACGTACACAGTGTCAAATAAATAATTATTATCTGCTGCGTGACTCCTAACTGGTCCAAGGCAACAACAACAAAAAAGATGTAAAGCAACGACGCAAATATTAAACATTAGTAGTTTCACCGCAAAATCGTATCACAATGGCAGAAAAAGCATTCTCAGACTCCAGGGGTAACACCTCAGAAACATTCCTCCAGGAAAAAGGAACCGATGTCTCCAGCCTTCCCTGTCCTGGCCGTAGCTATATCAGGCACCATCAGAGGCCTGGCTCCAGGGGGAGGGGGAGCCACAGTGCACATGCATCAGGGAGCCTTCCAAAGAATGCCCTCTGTCAACCTGGAGCAACAAGCCCAGTGGGCCACCCTGTTCTTCCTGGGCCACAGGAGGCTCCCACATGAGGCAGTCCACCTTGGACAGTGACTCTAAATGCACCCTGGGGGTTTCTGTCAAATTAACTACTCACTCCAAGACTTCTCACCTCCACGTCTCTCTCTCCCTTGCTGTTCCTCAAGCAGCAATGCCCTTCAGCCTTAAATCTTTGTATCTACAAGGCCCAGTGCAAACACTACCCACTCCGAGGCTTTTCTGGCCCTTTAAGCTCAAAGCATCAGTATCCTCAGGGGCACTCCCACTGACTACCTTCCTTTCTTTTTTTTTGAGATGGAGTCTTGCTCTGTAGCCCAGGTTGGAGTGAAATGGTGCGATTTCAGCTCACTGCAATCTCTGCCTCTCTGGTTCAAGCGATTCTCCTGCCTCAGCCTCCTGAGTAGCTGGGATTACAGGCACGCGCCACCATGCCCAGCTAATTTTTTGTGTTTTTAGTAGAGATGGGGTTTCACCATGTTAACCAGGATGGTCTCGATCTCTTGACCTCGTGATCCACCTCGGCCTCCCAAAGTGCTGGGATTACAGGCGTGAGCCACTGCGCCTGGCCTATTTTTTTGGGGGGAGAAAGAGCCTCATTCTATCACCCAGGCTGGAGTGCAGTGGCACGATCTTGGTTCACTGCAATCTCCACCTTCTGGGTTCAAGTGATTTTCCTGCCTCAGCCTCCTGAGTAGCTGGGACTACAGCTGTGTGCCACCATGTCCGGCTAATTTTTGTATGTTTAGTAGAGATGGCGTTCACCATGTTGGCCAGGTTGCTCTGGAATTCCTGACCTCAAGTGATCCCCCCACATCTTCGTCTCCCAAAGTGCTGGGATTACAGTGAGCCACTGTGCTTGGCCAGAAAATAGCCTGTTTTTGACAGCCAACTTTTTGGCTCAAACTCAAACTTCTCTCCTCAACCCCATACTCATATACCCAACTCAATGTCTCTTCTCAGATGTCTAATGGACTCAAACCTCCTCAGAGGACTTCCCTTACTAACAGTCTGAGGTAGCCTCAGCACTCTGTTGCAGTATCCTGGCCTATTCATTACACTACTTCTCACTACCTGATGTTTTCCCTGTGTTTACTGTCTGTTCCTTCCACTAGAATTAAGCTCCATGAAGGAGAGATCCTGTCTATTTTGTTTATCATGGCCATATATGCTAGACTGAAGTAGTGCCTGACACAGTAGGTATACAATTGAATGAATGAACAAACAAATGAATGCTATTGCCACTCTCTCATCTCAGTGAATAGCAACTCAAGCCTTTCTTTGCTCAAGGCCCTAGTCCTGGCTGGGCATGGTAGCTCACGCCTGTAATCCCAGCACTTTGGGTAGCTGAGGCAGGCAGATCACTTGAGGTCAGGAGTTCAAGACCAGCCTGTTGGCTAACATGGTGAAACCCTGTCTCTACTAAAAATACAAAAAAAAAAAAAAAAAAAAAAAGAGCTGGGCGTGGTGGTACATGCCTATAATCCCAGCTACTCAGGAGGCTGAGGCATAAGAATCACTTGGACCCAGGAGGCAGAGGTTAAAGTGAGTTGAGATCATGCCACTGAACTCTAGCCTGGATGACAGAGTGAGACCCTGTAAAAAAAAAAAAAAAAAAAAAAAGCCCCAGACTTCAATTTCTCTTTTATTCTCACTTTTTACACCCAGTTAGCGAATCTTGCAGGCTTTCTCTCCAAAATATGTCTAGGATCTGACCAATTCTCATGACTCCTACTGCTTCCACCCTGCTGATCATCTCTTGCCTATATATTGCAATCTCCTTTCCTGTCTCCATGATCTTGGCATCCTCTATCTGTTCTCTGTAAGGCTATCTGAGTGATCCTTGTAAAACTAAGATAATTCTATTCCCCTGCCTCAAGTTCTCCAAAAGGTCTCCCTTGCATTCAGAGGAAAAGTTGGAGGCCAGTAAGTTCTAGAAACAGGCCTTTCCCAGCCATCCCTCTGTAGCTTTCCCTCCTGACTCCACTGCTGAGCCGCAGCTGGGATCTGCTACTGCCTCCAGGTTGTTGCACTTGCTCTTCCCTCTGCCTGGGATGCTCATCTCTCCACGATGCTCATGACTTGCTGTCTGGCTTCTTCCAGGTCTTCACTCAAATGTCACCTCATTGAGGGCCTTCCCAGACAATCCTACTCAAAATTGCAACCCTACTCCCTACCTCTGGCACTACTTCTTCCTTCTTGGCTTTATTTTCTCCAAAGTACCACCTCACACATTCTATACTAGTTATTTATTGCCTGTCTCCCTCCACTAGAATATAAGCTCCACAAGCTGTAAAATTGTTTGCTACTCCATGCCCCAGACTAGCACAGTGCGCACCAGCTTTCGTTGAGTGAATGAATGAACGAATATTGTCTTCCAGTCCTGTAAGTGGAAGCTCAGTGGATTTGGGTGGGTCTTATCTTTCTTGCTCCGGGGCTTGCTATAATGCCTGCACACAGCGGGCTAAATAAATGCATCCTGAAGGAACGAACGTGAAGCCGTTTTATTCACGTGCCCCGGGGTTACTAAAGGCAATGGACCGTGTAACGTCCCAAAGGGTAGCAAACATCTTGGCAGCCTCTTGCCTTTATGTGCGCTTTGAAGAGCCAGAATGCTATTACCCCTTGGGACTGGAATTTGGTCTTGAAGGCCTGGAAACGAACGTGGAAAAGCTGGCGGCCCCCAAGGAAGCATATCCAGGCGGCCTTCCAGGCTCCCGCGTCACAGCGAGCACCCCACTCCCGGCCAGGTTTGCGCGGCCAGCCAGCCCCCTCTCGCGGCGACCATCACGTAGCCCCCCGACATAACTCCACATCCGGCCAATGGGGCCTGGGGTTCCTAACGTCACCCAACAGCCGGACAAAACGCCCCTTCCGTCCAGTCCTTCCTGGCTCACCGGGACCCTCCAGGCGGTCTCCGAGCCCTGAGATTCGGGGTAGAGCTTGTCCAGGCTGTAGATGCTCTTGAACTCAGTGCCGTCTACCTGCTTGTGCAGCGCCCGGCGTGGGCACCCTGCGGTCGGTGGGAGCCTCCAGACTCCGGCTCGGCTCAGGCCCCAGCGTAGACACCTGGTGGCCGCCATGCTCGGGCTCTACGACTGTTTCCGGCAGGCGCTTCCTCCCCGCACTCCGCAAGCTGGCGCTGCTCTCAAGATTTGGTTCCGCGCAGCTTCTAGGGCCCGCCAAGGGGAGGCGGCAAGCTAGGGTCCGGGCGATGCTCCCGGGCCGGCAGCATCGGGAAGGCCTGGTTGGCTGGGGGAGACGGTAGCCAGACCGCGAGCTCCTACGGGAAGAGTGCCCCGATCTCGTGTCCCCCAGAAACACCACTTCTTTCCCTGTCAGAGTCTGTGCCGCCCGCCTGGACCGCCCACCGTCGGTCAAACATCAGCGAGGTCTGCCGGTCCAGCCTGGGGCACCTCTCGCCCGCCCGCTCCGTGCTTCCCAGCCCCTTTACTCTGCTCTACTTTCTTTTTTCTCTTCCTTTAAAAAAAATCTAGTCTGAGTGGTAGTTCTAAATTTTAATTAAAAATAACACTCAGTCCTAATTGTCTTATTGCTATCTCCTAGCCGGAATGTGAGCTCCAGGAGGGCACCAGCTCACTGCTGTATCCCCAACACCCAGAACGTGGCACATTGTGGGCACCCCATGAGTATTGATAAAATGAATTCTGTGGGAATGTGTTTTTGAAAGGTGAGCTCCGGTAGAGCTGAGTTTTAGGGAACACTAGGCTCTTTTTACATGTCAGCCTATGAGCAAACTCCCCGCCGAGCACCTGTGTGTAAAATGCCTTATATCTAGCTGCTCTGCAGGACAAATACCAGATGGGAGGAGGAGGCAGGTCACCGAAAGAAATGTTTCCAAAACGTTGAACATCATCCCCCGCTCCCCAGCTTTATGGAGCAAGATGGTGCTTTTTTCCAGCCAGGAGAGAGGGGGAGCCTGGGGAGGCAGGGAGAGAATTCAGAGAACTGCCCGCCAACTAGAGCCCTTTCATAGGTCTGTTAAGGGATGAACTCCAGACAAGCTCTAATTCTGAAAAAGGTCCAAAGTAGAGAGCAGTGTTTGAAAGCAACTAAACCTTAGTTAAGTTACTTTGTTGAAAGGCAATGTGGTAAGCGGAAACAGACCTAAATAAATGTTCGTAATTATTAGTAAAGCTAGCGGTGGTTTCTTAACAAAGAGTTCTATATTTAGGAAAAATCATAATTATGTTCTATTTTTAGGAAAAAGCTAAATAAATGCATCCTGAAGGAACAAACGAGAAGCCGTTTTATAACAACAACAACAACAACAACAAAAATACAAAAGCCAGGCGTGGTGGCTCACACCTGTAATCCTAGCACTTTGGGAGGCTGAGGTGGGTGGATCACCTGAGGTCAGGAGTTCAAGACCAGCCTGGCCATCATGGTGAAACCTCATCTTAAAAAAAAAAAAAAAAAAAGTAAAAAAAAAAAAATACAAAAAACAAAACAAAACGAAAGAAGCCATTTTATTTGCATGTCCTGGGGTTAGTAGAGGCAATGGACAGTGTAACGTCTCAAAGCGTAGCAAACAACTTAGCAGCCTGGGAATGCTGGCTGATTGAAAGAGGAGACTGTCATCAAACCAAGCCTTTACCATCTTGGCGTCATTGCTACAGCAAATCTTTAAGATGGAATAAACCACTTTCCAAGCAATGGCTTTATAAGCTTAGACCAGGAAGGGGTGGCAATTGGTTGGAAGGAGTCTCCGGGGTCCCTTCCTATCTGACTTAGTCCCAAGACCTCAAAGGGAATAGAGGTGTCTCCATGGCAACTGGAATAACTGCTCAGGGGAGCAAAATCAGACATTCACTCAGATCGGGGGCTAAGGGATTATGAGGAATAAAGTCAGAACCTTTCCATGATGTCATTGTTCTGAGGCTGGGCTCCAGTCCTGCACCTGACCCAAGGCAATAGGAAAAGGAAGCTGCAGGTTTCCATGGCCCCAAATAAACACAGCCTGCTCAGGCCATCTGGTGGCCTGGATTCTGGGAGAGGAGGTGGGTAGAAAAGAGAAAGAGACAAGCTGTCCTGGGGTGGAGAGAAGAGCAGCTGGCAAGCTCCTCTTACCTGCTGCTGCCGTGAAATATCCATAATGGGGGCCCTAGGAGAAACAGGCCAGAATGGGCCACCTGTTCCCACCGAAAGATGGGAACTGAAGGCTGAGGCCAGTCTTCCCTTTCCCCTCCTTGGGTCTCTATAGGCTGAGATGGTGCTTCAGGGAGGGGACATTCATGGAAGAAGAGAGGAAAGAGGTCATTTCCAACAGCTGAGGAGCTTGCAGACACCAGCCCTTCTATAGGGCCCTTGAGTTGGGGTACTATTCCTATGTAGGGGGTCCACAGGATTCCCCTTCTTCTCTGGAGTGTCCTGGGTCAGATGGCCTCTTAAAACTCATCATTGGCTGAGCACGGGGGCTCTCGCCTGTGATCTCAGCACTCTGGGAGGCCAAGGGGGGTGGATCACCTGAGGTCAGGAGTTCAAGACCAGTCTGGCTAACATGGTGAAATCTTGTCTCTACCAAAAAGTGCAAAAATTAGCTGGACAGGGTGGCACGTGCCTGTAATACCAGCTACTCAGGAGGCTAAGGCTGGAGAATTGCTTGAACCCGGGAGGCGGAGGTTATACTGAGCTGAGCTAGTGCCACTGCACTCCAGCCTGGGTGACAGAGCAGGACTCTGTCTCAAAAATCAAACAAACTAACAGCCGGGCGCAGTGGCTCACGCCTGTAATCCCAGCACTTTGGGAGGCCGAGGCGGGTGGATCACGAGGTCAAAGATTGACACCATTCCTGGTCAACATGGTGAAACCCCGTCTCTATTAAAAATACGAAAAATTAGCTGGGCATGGTGGCGCACGCCTGTAATCTCAGCTACTCAGGAGGCTGAGGCAGGAGAATTGCCTGAATCCAGGAGGCGGAGGTTGCGGTGAGCCGAGATCGCGCCATTGCACTCCAGCCTGGGTAACAAGAGCGAAACTCCGTCTCAAAAAAAAAAAAAAAATCAATCAATCAAACAAATAAACAGAAAACCAAACTCATCATTTTATACAGATAGGGATTGTGCAATGAGGCATCGTGGATTGATGAGGCATGGTGGATTGATGAGTTATGGTGGATTGGTCAGGTCTAAGTTGGAATATTTATTTTTTTTATTAAAAAAATAGAGGCCAGGCGAGGTGGCTCACGCCTGTAATTCCAGCACTTTGGGAGTCTGAGGTGGGCAGATCACAAGGTCAGGAGATCAAGACCATCCTGGCTAACATGGTGAAATCCAGTCTCTACTAAAATGCAAAACATTAGCTGGGTATGGTGGCACACGCCTGTAGTCCTAGCTACTCTGGAGGCTGAGGCATGGGAATTGCAGAGGTTGCAGTGAGCCGAGATCGTGTCACTGCACTCCAGCCTGGTGTCAGAGTGAGACTGTCTCAAAAAAAAAAAAAAAGTCCATATCCTAACCCTTGGTAGCTGAGACTATGACTTTATTTTAAAATTTTATTATTATTTTTTGAGCCAAATTCTTGCTCTGTCACTCAGACTGGAGTGCAGTGGTGTGATCCCAGCTCACTGCAACCATGGCCTCCCCAGCTCAAGTGATCCTCCCACCTCAGCGTCCTGAGTAGCTGGGATTACAGTCATGTGCCAGCTAATTTTTGTATTTTTTTTGTAGAGACAAGGTTTCACCATGTTGCCCAGGCTGGTCTTGAATTCCTGGGCTCAAGCAGTCTGCTTACCTTGCCCTCTCCAAAGTGCTGGGATTATAAGCATGAGCCACTGTGCCTAGCTAAGCTCAAATATTTCAATGTGACCTTGAATTACTAACCTAACCTCTAAGTTTTTGTATCCTCGTCAGTAAAATGGAGATTTTATAGATTTTATAGCTGTCTCATAAAGGTTTTGAGGATAGTAAACACATATAAAACATTTAACACCGTGCTTGGCATGAAGTCAGCAGGTAACAAAAATGAGCTGCTGTTGAGGGATGCAGGTTCCTTAAGGGAACTTTCTTTTTCTTTCACAGACCTGATTACGGTTGTCTTTTTTCCTCTGTAGCCCTGGAGTGGGAAATCCAGTCTGATAAGCTCTGTTCCAAACCCTCTTTCCTTCTTCCCTGACGGGATGGGCAGCGCAGAGCTGCCCTCCTCTCCCTGGAAGGTACTTCCTTCATTGCTTCCCCTTATCTGCCTGGTCCCCTAAAACTGGAGCCACCCCCCAGCTCTCAGCTCAGGATCCCCAGGGAGGGTGGAGGCAGGTCTCTTTGGCTGGGTCCCCTCTCCAAATGGTACAGTGGGTTTGGCCTAGGAGAGGAGAAGGCTGCCAGTTCAGGGGAGGAGAAAATGAGGGAGGAGCCCCTGGGGAGGCAGCAGGGAATATCTGTCCACTGAGCAAGGACAAAGTGGTATCAGGAGGGAAGAGGGAAAGAAATGTGCGGTGGCTCACGCCTATAATCCCAGCACTTTGGGAGGCCGAGGCGGGTGGATCACAAGGACAAGAGATTGAGACCATTCTGGTCAACAAGGTGAAACCCCGTCTCTACTAAAAATACAAAAATTAGCTGGGCATGGTGGCACACGCCTGTAGTCTCAGCTACTCGGGAGGGTGAGGCAGGAGAATTGCTTGAACCCAAGAGGCGGAGGCTGAGGTGAGCCGAGATCACGCCATTGCACTCCAGCCTGGGTAACAAGAGTGAAACTCCGTCTCAAGAAAAAAAAAACAAAACAAAAAGAAATGCATCCACAAGGCAGTTTAGAAGGCTGAGAGAGGCCAGGCATGGTGGCTCACGCCTGTAATCCCAGCACTTTGGGAGCCAATGTGGGAGGATCACTTGAGCATGAGTTCAAGACCAGCCTGGACAATATAGCAAGACCTGGTCTCTGCAAAAAATTTAAAAAAAGAAAGCCATCATGGTGGCGTGCACTTGTAGTCCCAACTACGGGAGAGGCTGAAGGGAGAGGATCACTTCAGTCCAGGAGTTGGAGGCTGCAGTAAGCTACACTTGTGCTATTGCACTCTAGCCTGGGCAACAGAGCAAGACCCTGTCTTAAAAAAAATGCTGAGGGGGAGAAGGGCAGCTGGATACATGCCATGGCTTCATCTCTTGGGTGTGATGGCTCCATGTATTCACCACCAGCTGCTCCCCTCCTGTTGAAGACAGGTTATAACAGGATGGGAAAACCCAACAGCCACTTGCATGCTGCCCTTGTAAAACCCCCATGCTGTTCAGTTGATGTAGTAAGCACAGCAGTTTGGGGCCCAGCGCTGGGCTTGCCACATTACATTTTTTTTTTTTTGACACAGAGTCTGGCTCTGCCGCCCAGGCTAGAGTGCAGTGGTTGGTCTAAGTTTACTGCAACCTCCATCTCCTGGGTTCAAGCAATTCCTGTACCTCAGCCTCCAGAGTAGATGGGACTACAGGTGTGCACCACCACGCCCGGCTAGTTTTTGTGTTTTTAGTAGAAACGGGGTTTCACCATGTTGGCCAGGCTGGTCTCCAACTCCTGGGCTCAAGTGATCCTCCCGCCTCAGCCCCCCAAATTGCTGGGATTACAGGTGTGAGCCACTGCATCCGGCCCCACACCACACTTATCTCACCTTCTGAGTTTGAGGGAAGTTGTTCCTCATGAGGACAAGGGAAGGAGTTTTGGAGGGAAGCCTGCATTTCTCCCCAGCTCCAGTTGAGTCCTGAATCTACTTCCCCGGGAAGACTTTGGAAGCTTTTCCGCAGACTCAGGTCAGGTGGGCTAGTGGAATTGGGGTCCACAGAGCTGCCTTTCTGTCTGGAGATGGGAGAGTGAAGAAGCCAGCAAGAAACCCCTTAAATATTCAGGAGCACTTTCCTCTCCGATTTTGGGTTACTCAGCCTGCTGGTGCAAGGAGGGGTGGGTGGGGTTGGCAGTGTGAGGTGAAGGAAGATACCCTAGAGGTGTCCCTTTGATCACCACCCACTGTCCTGCATCTAGGCTTCCAATATCTGAGCTTGGACAGCAATTCTCAAGTTCAGGATGGAAATTACTAAATCTGGAGAGAGCTGGGTAGAGCATGGGAAGTTTGAAAAAACATTATCATTTTGCATTTTTTTTTTTTTAGACCGAGTCTCACTCTGTTGTCCAGGTTGGAGTTTAGCGGTGCGATCTTGGCTCACTGCAACCTCCACCTTCCAGGTTCAAGTGATTATCCTGCCTCAGTCTCCCGAGTAGCTAGGATTACAGGCACCCACCACTATACCCAGCTAATTTTTTGTATTTTTAGTAGAAACAGGGTTTCACCATGTTGGCCAGGATGGTCTTGAACTCCTGACTTTGTGATTTGCCTACCTAGGCCTCCCAAAGTATTGGGATTACAGGTGTGAGGCACCGCCCCTGATGTTTTTTGTTTTTTTGTGTTTTTTTTTGACAGAGGCTCGCTCTGTCACCCAGGTTGGACTGCAGTGGTGCCATCTTGGCTCACTGCAACCTCCACTTACCAGGTTCAAGTGATCCTCCCACCTCAGCCTCCCAAGTAGCTAGGATTAAAGAGTACATCACCGTGCCTGACTAATTTTTTTTGTATTTTTAGTAGAGACCAGGTTTCACCATGTTAGCCATGGTCTGAAACTCTTGACCTCATGTGATCTGCCTGCCTCAGTCTCCCAATGTGCTGGGATTACAGGTGTGAGCCACCGCACACGGTCTATCATTTTGCATTGAAAACAGAAGACCCAACAGAGCGACGGCACCTCCAGAACAAGGGGAGGCTGGTGCATTCTGGGTGATGGGTACCTCTCCAGAAGACGAGCCCCTCTATGTACTGAGGAAGAATGGGGGTGGTGAAGCTTTTCATGTATATGGAAGAGAGATGTGGGGATTATCAGCTTGAAAAACACCAGGAGATGGCCCTCTTGTCATTCCTGTGACTGACCTGTGTATCAATGTGTGGTTCCCCAAGGACAGGTCAGCTTCCCCATCCTTCATGGCCCCTCAGGGTGTCAGTCCGGCCCTGGACTCCCTGCAGTGGCTTCTCATTGCACTGAGGAGGTCTGAGCTCTCCCTGCAGGGCCCTTGGGAGCTGGCCTCCACCCTCTGCTCTGGCTGCTCCCTGGGCCTGCACTGGTCTTCCCCGTTGGTTCCTTCCCAGCCTTCAGGTTTCAGCTTCATCATCACCTCTCCAACAGCGCCCTGACCATCCTCCATTAGCATTTCTCAATCTTTTTTTCCCACGATCGCCCCCTCTTCCCACCTCAAAGAGCCTATTTAGACATTTCTCCCAATTGCCAATTCCTCCCCCAGGAATTTTAGTAACACTGTATATCTCTTCATGTGCTGTATTTGTATACCTAGATATGATTATGTAAGTCTTTTTTTTTTTTAGACAGGGTCTTGTTCTGTTGCCCAAGCTGGAGTACAGTGGTGTGATCATAGGTCACTGCAGCTTTGACCTCCCAGACTCATGATCCTCCCACCTCAGCCTCCTGAGCTGCTGGGATTACAAGTGCACACCACCATGCTCTGCTACATTTTTGTAGAGAGAGGGTCTTGCTATGTTGCCCAAGCTGGTCTCAAACTTCTGAGCTCAAGTGATACACTTCGGCCTCCCAAAGAGCTGGGATTACAGGCATGGGCAACTGCAACAGGCCTATTTTTTTTTTTTTTTAGACAGAGTCTTACTCTGTCACCCAGGCTGGAGTGCAGTGGTGCGATCTCGGCTCACTGCAACCTCTGCCTCCCTGGTTCAAGCAATTCTTCTGCCTCAGCCTCCCAAGTAGCTGGGACTACAGGCACATGCCACCACACCTGGCTAATTTTTTTTTTTTTTGGTATTTTTAGTAGAGACAGGATTTCACTGTCTTAGCCAGGACGGTCTTGATCTGCTGACCTCATGATCCACCCACCTCAGCCTCCCAAAGTGCTGGGATTACAGGCGTGAGCCACCACGCTGGGCTGATTTTTTTTTTTAACTTGGTTCACCCTGTTGAGTTCACGTGCTCTAGCTGAGATAGCACTGCCCTCCTGCCCTGATTTTTCCATCATGCTATCTTTTATTTGTATATTTTGGGTGGATCTTCCCACACCAGAATGTAAACTCCAAGGGAAGAGGAGCCCTGCCGAGTTGTTCACCATGTATCCCTAGCTGGTTCACAATAAATATAGAAACTTCTGCCAAGGCCTGCTATTTGGTGCTGTTCTGTCTTGGGGAAGTGAGACCCAGGATGCTACCCTCTCCCGTGACTGGGCGTGATGCAAGGCAGGTGTGTGAGATACACAGAGATGGGCCATTTCTGCTTTTAGAATACTGGTGCATTTTTTATTAAAGAAGAGAATAAAGCATTTGTAAATATATTTCTCTCATGTATACTTCAAAGGTGACGCTGGTCTGCCACTACAGAGCTGGGGAGCAAACAGGTTGGAGCTCTTCCCCCCACCCTTCCACACTCCTCTCCCCCAGAAAACAGAGACACATGGAGGGCAGGGAGCTGCCTAGTCCCAAAGACAAAAGTTTCCAAGTTGCATGTATAGAGGGACGCAAAGTCACCACCAGCTCCCATCACAGTGCCGCCCAGAAAGCAGGTGGTGCTTCCAGGAGGTAAGGGATGCTTGGCAAGAAAACCCCTTTACCCATTAGAAATAAATAAGGCATGAAGGTTTCCACTGGGCTCCCAGTGCTGAGGCCAGGGCCCCCGCCTTCCGCTGACTCTATGGCTCCTCTGGTTTCTAGGGTCTCAGGAAGGGTGGCAGAAGGAACTAGAAGCCCTGGAGGACTGCTCAGGGCAAGCTGGGGACATGGGTGTCTCTTAGCTGAACCTTGACTCTGACATCTTGAAGCAAAACCCCTGACCCAGCTGGGTCCTCAAAAGCCCCCCACAAAGGTGGGAGGTTAAGAGCAGGCAATATATGGGAGGAAGGGAGGGAGGGAACATGTTCCTTAACCCCATCCCAATTCAACATGATGCAGCATGGGGTGAAAATCCCAGTCCCCAGTGAAGGGGAGGCAGGAGTGGACACTGGAACCACTGGCTGGTAGTGCATATCCAGAACATTCTGGGGGCTGCAGACATGACCTGTGCCAGGGTTGGCCTGTGGGGAGTGTGCAGTGAATGAGACATCATGGTCCCTGAGATGGGGCAAGCACAGAGAGGAGAGGCAGAGGCCAAGCTCAGTTAGTTGGAGGCGGTATGAAGGGATGGGGGCACCCCACTGTCCCGGCCCTTGGAAGGCTTAAAGCCTGGCAGGGATTTCCGGGGCTGGAAGCCGAGGAGGCCGGCTCTGAGGGACACAGTGCACCGCTCTGTGGAGGGGCTCCTTCTCCTCCTCTGAGTAGCTACAGATCTGCAGTGGGCCCAGGGTATCCAGGGAGAAGCCTGTCCTTGGCAGGGCTGGGGCAGGGACACTCTGGGCCCAGCTGAGGCTTCCTGCTCTGCATGACAGGGGACATGTCTGACCTGGTCAGGACCCTGGGGGTGGGACAGCTGGTGCTAAGGAAATATCAGCGCATCAGGGCTGGGGAGAAGCAGTAGGTGGTCCAGGAAGCCCCTGAAACAGCTGGCTCTGGGGTCCCCTTTCAAGTGTTTCCAGTTGTGGCAAGGGGTCAAGGAGACCTTGCATTGCAAATCTCTAAGAAAAAACAAACATAACCAAAAAATTTTAAAAAGCCAACTGATCCAGACTGGCTTTCAGAAGCCTGCTTGAAGGTGAGGCGCAGGGTCAGGAAGCTGGGGGCCGGGGGAGCTAGGGGATCCCTGGGGGGTGTGGGGACATTTGGCTTTGAACTCTGAGCTGCGCCTTTGGGCTGGCGCGAGGTGGCCAAGGGCTCCTGGGAGGCAGGACAGGTGGGCTTCCTCTGCTCAGCAGGGAGCATGCTGTGCTTCCGGATCAGGGGGCGGCGTGCTGCAGTGGCCGGCCGCTAAAGGGTGCTCTCTGGAGGCTGCACCGCCTAGGCCTGAGGGACCCACAGCCTCCACCCTGAGGGAGGCTGCAGGTCGAGCAAGGATCACTTGCTGCTGTGCGTCTTGACTTTGGTGGCGTTGATGTCAGCCTTGGTCTTCTGGATCCTGGAGAAGATCTCCTTGAAGAGTGCCTTGTACTCGGGCTGGCTCTGCTCCAGCCGCTTGTCCACGGCCTCTACGTGCTGGCTCAGGCTCTTCTCGCCCACCTTGGCCTCCCCCTGGCCCTCTTCACCCCCCCGCAGGTCCCTCCACGAGCTGTCTCGGGAGATGGGACGCGAGGTCTGCACGCCAGCGTGCCGCACCCCAGCCCCGTGCTGCCGGCACTTGCTCAATAGCTCCTCATACTTCTCCAGCAGCGCGTGGTACTGCTCGTCCACCTCCCGCAGGATGGACATGCCCCGCTTGCGCACGCTGTTGGCGTGCAGTGTGAGGTTGCCTGCGTGCCGGCTGGCTGGGTCTTTGGCCACGATGGCGTTGAGTGCGGTGTCGCTGCAGCTCTTGCGCACCACGTGGCCTGGGGAGGCGGCCGGCGAGGAGACGCCGTCCTGGGCACCCGAGTCGTCCCCGCGGCCGGGCTGGGGATCGTCGGCCTCAGGGGCCTGTGTGAGAGGTGCGAGCAGGGCCTCGGCCAGGTGGTCGTCCGGGCCCAGCAGGTAGGTCTTGGCCTGCTTCATCTGCTGCAGCTCCAGCAGCTCGGCCTCCAGCTCCTGCACGCGCAGGCGACAGGCCTCCTTCTCGCACAGTTGACGCTCCAGCTCCGAGTACTCCTGCAGCACCGCTGTGTACTCGCGCTCTGCCCGCTCCTTGCGCTGCCGCTCCTGGCTCACCTGGGAGCGCAGCGCCCCCACCAGGGTTTGCAGCCGCTCGTTCTCCTGCTCCAGGGGTCGCGGGCCCAGCTCCAGGGAGGAACTGTGCAGGCGGAAAGCATCCTTGCACCTGGTGGGGAGCCAAGGAGGGTGGGGGCGGAGGGCGGAGGAGACGCAGTGGTCACGGCCAAGGCCAAGCAGCCCAGCCAGGGTGCGTACATCTCTCTTGTTCTCTGGGCTGAAATACTGTTTGTTCCTCTCCGCGGGCTCTCCACTCTCCTCCACCCTTCTCCCCCTGCTCTCTGCCCCCAGAGGCTGACCACCACGGACCGCCTCTGCCAGGTAGCCTCCTTCTTTCCTGAGCTTGGTCCATGGGAGGGGAGGCACCGGCTAGAGGTCTGAGGGGGAAACAGAGGCCGTGGGGTGTATTCTCCCTGGGCTCTCCATGCTTAATGGTGGCCAGGCAACCCTCTCCATGCTGCCTAGGTGTTGGTAACCTCCCTTCTCCCTTGCTCTTTGAGGCCTAGGACTTGTAGCAGGTCCTCTCTGCTGCAACCCTAGGGCGCTCAGTGGTTTCCCTACACCCTGCCCATACCTCTTCTTCATTTAACTTCTCCATTACTCTGTGTAAGGGACTGTTTCCTGCCAGGACCCTTATTGATACACCCACTACATATGTTTTTTTTTTTTTTTTTTGTTTTTGTTTTTTTTTGAGACAGAGTTTCGCTCTTGTTACCCAGGCTGGAGTGCAATGGCGCAATCTCGGCTCACCGCAACCTCCGCCCCCTGGGTTCAGGCAATTCTCCTGCCTCAGCCTCCTGAGTAGCTGGGATTACAGGCACGTGCCACCATGCCCAGCTAATTTTTTGTAATTTTTAGTAGAGACGGGCTTTCACCATGTTGACCAGGATGGTCTCGATCTCTTGACCTCGTGATCCACCCGCCTCGGCCTCCCAAAGTGCTGGGATTACTTCCGTTAAGTGATGGCCTGGATGATGCACCAACTCTCATTTCCCCTGTTGCCTGCAGCCTCCCCTTCCTCCCCTGGCTGGCAATCCCACAGACACGAAGCAGCACTCTCACCTACCGGGGGCTGGTGCACAGCTCCTTGAGGCAGGGAAAGGTATGGATGGTACGCCTGCGTTCCCGCTTCTCCCGGAGCACTCGCAGCTGCTCCAGGCCCCTCAGTTGCTCCACCTGGGCCTGCAGCTCTTCCACCTGAGCCTGGAGGCACTCAATGGTCTCTGTCAGCCTGGGGATGAGGAGGTGGACACATATACGAGGGACTTTAAGGGGATGGGGTCAGTGCATCTCACTGCAGCCCTGGCTCCCTGAAGATGGAGGGATGCAGGTAGGGGACAGACAGGTACCCTTGAGCTGCTGTCTGAGGGAGGGTGGGGAATTCTCTGCCCAAGGACCCACCCTTCTTTTATACCTACCAGGCGAGCTGATCGCATCTCCTCTGTGCCACCTCAGTTCTTTGTCACTCCTCTATCACTAATTGTCCTGCACTGCCATAAAATATTTACATGCCGGCTGGGCGGGGTGGCTCACACCTGTAATCCCAGCACTTTGGGAGGCCAAGGTGGGCTGATCACCTGAGATTGGGAGTTCGAGACCAGCCTGACCAACATGGAGAAACCCCGTGTGTACTAAAAATACAAAATTGGCCTAGTGTAGCGGCGCATGCCTGTAATCCCAGCTACTCGGGAGGGTGAGGCAGGAGAATTGCTTGAACCTGGGAGGTTTACGTGAACTGAGATCATTCCATTGCACTCCGACCTGGGCAACAAGAACAAAACTCCATCTCAAAAAAAAAAAAAAAAAAAAATTGACATGCCTGCCTTCTCTTCCAGGCTGTGAGCTCTTACAGTGTGGGATGATGTCTTTGTTTCCCCATTGTTGCATCCCCAGTGTCTAAAACAGAGCCTGCTGCATAGCTGGTGCTTAAAGCAAGGTTGTGCCCTAAATGTAAAATCACACAAAATCGACAAGGGCAAGTTGATTTCCATCCCAGGTTCCTTGGGAGAAGTGCATGAGTCACACCCACCAGCCCATAGGCCCACGTGTACACCCAGCCCTGGGCTCTCCCTCGCCCGGCCCCCAACCCTCAGCCGGGCCCTCACCCGTGGATCTTCTGCTGGGCAGCCTTACTCTCCAGCACCAGCTTGTGGTTGGTCAGCTCCAGGTCCCGGGCTGTCAGGTCCAGCTGCTCATAGACTTTGGCATGCTGCTCGTTCACGTGCCGCAGCGTGTCCAGCTGCTTGGTTAGGTACTGGGGGTGGGAGGACATTGAGTAATCTTTTAGGATTGAGCAGGGGCAAATGTCTCTGCCTAGACGCTCCTCCTACTTCTTTTTTTGTCTTTTTTCTTTTCTTTTTTTTTTTTTTGAGACAGAGTCTTGCTCCGATGCCCAGGCTGGAGTGCAGTGGCACGATCTCGGCTCACTGCAACCTCTGCCTCCCAGGTTCAAGTGATTTTCATGCCTTAGCCTCCTGAGTAGCTGGAACTATAGGTGTCTGCCACCATGGCTGGCCAATTTTTGTATTTTCAGTAGAGACAGGGTTTCACCATATTGGCTAGGTTGGTATTGAACTGCTGATCTCCAGTGATCCCCTGCCTCTGCCTCCCAAAGTGCTGGGATTACAGGCATAAGCCACCACACTGGCCTCTTTTTTTTTTTTTTTAACTTTTAAATTTCTTTTATAGGTTGTGAGCGGTGGCTCATACCTGTAATCCTGGCACTTTGGAAAGTGGGGGCGGGTGGATCACAACGTCAGGAGATCTAGACCATCTTGGCCAACATGGTGAAACGCTGTCTCCACAAAATACAAAAATTAGCTGGGCGTGGTGGCAGGTACATGTAATCCCAGCTACTTGGGAGGCTAAGGCAGGAGAATTGCTTGAACCCGGGAGGCAGAAGTTGCAGTGAGCTGAGATCGTGCCACTGCACTCCAGCCTCAGTGACACAGGGAGACTCCATCTCAAAAAAAAAAATTTATTTTATTTATTTATTTTTAAGACAGGGTCTCCCTCTGTTGCCTAGGCTGGAGTGCAGTGGCACAATCACGGCTCACTGTAGCCTCAGCCTCCAGGCTCAAACCTCTCACCTCAGCCTCTTGAGTAAATGGGACCACAGGTGCATGCCACCATGCCCAGCTAATTTTTGTATTTTTTGTACAGACAAGGTTTCGCTACGTTGCCTGGGCTCAAGTAATTCACCCACCTAGGCCTCCCAAAGTGCGGGGATTACAAGCATGAGCCATCACGACTGACCCCTCCTCCCCCTTTTAAGGACAAGTTTGCTTTGATGTGTCTGTCTTCAGCTGTGTGGGGCTAAAAAATGGCAGTTCAGGCTGGGTATGGTGGCTCCTGCCTGTAAGCCTAGCGCTTTGGGAGGCTGAGGCAGGAGGATCACTTGAGCTCAGTGTGGGCAACATGGTAAGACCTGGTCTCTATTAAAAAAACAACAAAAAACGCCGGGCACAGTGGCTCGCACCTGTAATCCCAGCACTTTGGGAGGCTGAGGTGGGTGGATCCCTAGGTCAGGAGTTCAAGATGAGCCTGACCAACATGATGAAACCTCGTCTCTACTAAAAATACAAAAATTAGCTGGGCGTGGTGGCGTGCACCTGTAATCCCAGCTACTCAGGAGGCTGAGGCAGGAGAATCGCTTGAATTGGGGAGGTGGAGGTTGCAGCGAGCCAAGATTGCACCACTGCACGCCAGCCTGGGCAAAGCAGCAAGACTCCATCACAAAACATAACAAAACTAAACAAAACACAGTAGGGCACGGTAGGGCTGCCTGGGATACCTATGTTATCCTTGTATAGGACAGCATGGTTGTGAACTGTATCAGGCTATTGGGCCACGGCTGTGTCTGATAAGCAGGCACTTTATTCCTTTTTTTGAGACAGAATCTTGCTCTGTCACCAGGCGCCAGGCTGGAGTTCAGTGGCGTAATCTCAGCTCACTGCAATCTCTGCCTCCTGGGTTCAAGCAATTCTCCTGCCTCGGCCTCTCAAGTAGCTGGGACTACAGCTGGGAGCCACCATGCCCAGCTAATTTTTGTAATTTTTTTTTTTTTTTTGAGACAGAGTTTCGCTCTTGCTACCCAGGCTGGAGTGCAATGGTGAGATCTTGGCTCACCCCAACCTCCGCCTCCTGGGTTCAGGCAATTCTCCTGCCTCAGCCCCCTGAGTACCTGGGATTACAGGCACGCGCCACCATGCCCAGCTAATTTTTTGTATTTTTAGTAGAGACGGGGTTTCACCATGTTGACCAGGATGGTCTCGATCTATTGACCTCGTGATCCACCCGCCTCGGCCTCCCAAAGTGCTGGGATTACAGGCTTGAGCCACCGTGCCCGGCCAATTTTTGTATTTTTTAGTAGAGATGGGGTTTCACCATGTTGGCCAGGATGGTCTCAATCTCTTGACCTCGTGACCTTGGCCTCCCAAAGGGCACTTTATTCTAAGTTGCATAAAGGCACGCACAGGCCAAGGGGCTCCTGAGGGGTATAGACAAGCACAGGCAGGGCCCTCACCTCGATCTCCTGCACCTGTTCCTCATTGGTGGAGTACATCTGCTGCAGGGATCCCTCCAGCTCCTTATTCCTCTCCAGCAGAGTCTTCCCCAGCTCCGCAGCTAGGTGCAAGTCTAGGACAGGAGAAACACGAGCATGAGAACAAAGAAGAGGACCCCCATCCATGTTACAAGCATCTTCTCTAGGTGACCCCAACGTAACCAAGACACTGGTAGCCTCCCAGCCTGGGAGGAGAGGTAAGACAGGAGCTAAGCCTTTGCACTGATTGTTATTTCTGCCTGGAATGTTCTTTCCTGACACCGCCAGAACTTGCTCCCCCTTCTCCTTCAATTCTGTGCCTGTCACCTTCTTAGATCTTTCCCCAAACACTTGATTCAAAGTCACACTGTTCCCTGCCCTGCATTCTCTCCCCCGTTTCATTTTTCTCCTTAGCACTTAGCACCATCTAATTTCCCAAGCAAGTTACTCCTTTATCTTCTTCATCTCCCCAACCAGCTGTGAGCTCATGGGGCAGTTTTTTTTTTTTTTTTTGCAACAGCTGTTGCATTTTTTTTTTTTTTTTAAGAGATGATGCCCATGCTGGAGTGCAGTAGGTATTCACAGGTGTGATCATCTATGCTGCAGCCTTGAGCTCCTGGGCTCAATCAATCCTCCTCCCTCAGCCTCCTAGGGCAACATAGTGAGACTTCATCTCTATTTAAAAAAAAAAAAAAAGGTGGTGCAATAGGGCTGCCTGGGATAGGATCCCTTGAGCCCAGTTCAAGGCTGTAGCGCATATGATCTCGCCTGGGAATAGGTGTGGAACTATAATACTGGTTGCTGGGACTGCAGGGGTAGTACAAAATTTTTAAGAACTTTTTGGGCCAGGCACGGTGGCTCACCCCTATAATCCCAGCACTTTGGGAGGCCAAGGTGGGTGGATCATGAGGCCAAGAGATCGAGACCATCCTGGTCAACATGGTGAAACCCTGTCTCTACTAATAATACACAAATTAGCTGGGCATGGTGGCACGTGCCTGTAGTCCCAGCTACTCAGGAGGCTGAGGCAGGAGAATTGCTTGAACCCAAGAGGTGGAGGTTGCGGTGAGCTGAGATCATGCCATTGCACTCCAGCCTGGGTAATAAGAGCGAAACTCCGTCTCAAAAAAAAAAAAAAAAAAAAAAGAACGTTTTGTAGAGACAGGGACTTGTTATATTGCCCAGGCTAGTCTCAAACTCCTGGTCTCAAGTGCCCCGCCTACCTTGGTCTCTCAAAATGCTGGTATTACAAGTGTGAGCCACAGCATGTGGTGGAGCAGGGATTTTTATCTGTTTTGCTCATGAATATCCCCAGGTCCCAGGACAGTATCTAGCAGAGTCAGTGCATAATTTGTCTTTTTGGAAGAATGAGTGAGTGATTGACAAGAGCATGGATGGACATATGGGTAAGGTGCCATGGGGTGATAGGCAAGGGAGAGCTTCACTCTCCCTGGGAGGCTCAGGCAAACGAGCAGCTTCCGAGTTGGACTTCGAAGGGTGAATAGGAGGCTGGGTGCAGTGGCTCATGCCTGTAATCCCAGAACTTTGGGAGCGAAAGGTGGGAGGATCACTTGAAGTCAGGAGTTCGAGACCAGCCCAACCAACATGGTGAAACTCCATCTCTACTAAAAATATAAAAATTAGCCAGGCGTGGTGGCACAAGCCTGTAATGCCAGCTACTCAGGAGGCTGAGGCAGGAGAGTTGCCTGAACCCGGGAGGTGGAGGTTGGGGTGAGCTGAGCCTCCATTGCACTCCAGCCTGGGTAAAAAGAGCAAAACTCCGTCTCAAAAAAAAAAAAAAAGAAGGGGGTGAATAGGAGCTTGCTGAGAGGCAGAGAGAGCAGAAGGGCTTGCTGAATATTAAAACTGGAAGAGGATTCAGAACTCTTTGGCCCAACTTGTTGATTTTATGGATAACAAGCAGGACAGCAGGGTGACTTAGCCATGGTCACCCATCTGGCTTATGTCCATGCTGGGGGGAGAATCCAGGTGTTTTCCTTCTGGTTGGGTACCATTTGACCCGAGTGACATGTGCCCCTCTCTCAAACCTTCTCCTTTCCCTGGGCAGCAGAACCGTCCTCTTCCCCCAGCAGCCCTGGTGCTTGTAACCTGTAGAACCTTCCCTCCCCGACCCCAGTCCAAGGGAAATGAGCACATGTCAGAAAGGCTGGGAGGGAATTGTTCTGTTTTTACCGGGTTGTTGTGGAGGATGGGTGGGTAGAGAGGAGTTAGAAGGAAATGGCAGATACTAAAATCCCTAAAAATTCTCTTGTGGGTCTGAGTTGTGTGATGGTACCTAGATATTTTGGAGTGGATACAATCCTCCCAACACACATATGTATATTACATATATTTATTATATTTTGTTTCTTTTTTGCTTTTTTTAAGATGGAGCCTTGCTTTGTCGCCCAGGCTGGAGAGCAGTGGGTCAATCTCAGCTCTCTGCAACCTCTGCCTCTCAGGTTCAAGCCATTCTCCTGCCTCAGCCTCCCAAGTAGGTGGGATTACAGGCAACCACCACCATGTCCAGCTAATCTTTGTATTTTTAATAGAGATGGAGTTTCACCATGTTGGTCAGGCTGATCTCAAACTCCTGACCTCAAGCAACCCAACCACCTCGGCCTCCCAAAGCGCTGGGATTACAGGCATGAGAAGCTGTGCTTGCACTGTTTTTTGTTTCTAAAGAGGCAGGGTGATAAAAATATTAGAAAATTGATTGTGGTGATGGTTGCACAACTCTGTGAATATAATAAAAACCATTAAATTGCACACTTTGAATGAGCGAATTGTGTGTTAATTAAATCTCAATAAAGCTGTTAAGGAAAAAAAAAAGATTTAGGCAGCTTAATCCAGAGACAAAGGTGGGAGAGGGAGGTTTTTAAAGAGTTTGTTAGAGCAGGCTCAGGCTGAGTTCACAAGGTTGTTTTCTTTTAAAAATATCTTTAACATTTTTCATAAGGCATAATTGATATAAAAAAAATCAAATGGTACAGAAAGTTTAAAAACTAGTGATTTAGGTGAGGCGAAATGGCTAATGCCTGTAATCCCAGCACTTTGGGAGGCCAAGGCGGCTGGATCACTTGAAATCAGGAGTTCGAGATCAGCCTTACCAACATGGTGAAACTCCGTTTCTACTAAAAACATAAAAATTAGCCAGGCATGGTAGTGTGTGCCTGTGGTCCCAGACACTCAAGAGGCTGAGGCAGGAGGATCACTTGATCCTGGGAGACAGAGGTTGCAGTGAACCAAGATTGTGCCACTGCACTCCAGCCTGGGCGACAGAGAGAGACCCTGTCTCAAAAAATCCCCAATAACCTCCCCCCATCAAAAAAAACAAAAACAAAAACCACAAACAACAACAACAACAACAACAAAAGACTGATTTAAAAATTATAGGCCAGGCCAGGCATGGTGGCTCATGCCTGTAATCCCAGCACTTCAGGAGGCCGAGGTGGGAGGACTGTTTTAGCAAAGGAGTTCGAGACCAGCCTGGGCAATATAATGAGACCATGTCTTTACAAAAAATAAGAAAATTAGTTGGGTGTGGTGGTACACACTTGTTGTCCCAGCTATTTGGTGAGCTGTGATCGTGCCACTGCACTCCAACTTGGGTGACGAACAGAGCGAGACCTTGTCTCTCAAAAAGAAAAAAAAAAAAGCAAACTGTAGACTGGGCACAGTGGTTCATACCCTATAATTCCAGTGCTTTGAGAGGCTGAGATGGGAGGATGCTTGAGGCCAAAAGTTAGACTAGCCTGGGAAACAGCAAGACCCCATCTCTCTCTCTCTCTTTTTTTTTTTTTTTCTGAGACAGTCTTGCTATGTCTCTAGGCTGGAGAGAAGTGGCCCAATCTCAGCTCACTGCAACCTCCGCCCCCTGGGTTCAAGCGATTCTCCTGCCTCAGCCTCCAGGCGTGCGCTACCATGCCCAGCAAATTTTTGTATTTTTAGTAGAGAAGGGGTTTTGCCATGTTGACCAGAATGGTTTCGATCTCTTGACCTCATGCTCCACTGCCTCAGCCTCCAAAGTGCTGGGATTACAGGCATGAGCCACCATACCTGCCCGAGACTCATCTCTACAAAAAAACTGTAAAAATTAGCCAGGCATGGTGGGGCGTGTTTGTGGTTGCAGCGACTAGGAAGGTTGACGTGAGAGGATTGCTTGAGTCCAGGAGTTTCAAATTAGAGTAATCTATGATTGCACCACTGCATTCCAGCGAGACAAAGCAAGACCCTATCTCTTAAAAAAAGAAAGAAACTAACTTTGTTGTACAAAACATTTTGTGCAAATCACCCAGCAGTTCCTTAGGACACAGAATTCCTTGAACAAAGGGTAGGCCTAGGTACCTGGAACAAAAGGTAGGTCTAGAAACAGAATTCCTGAGACAAAAGGTAGTCCTTCTTGAGGCATCCTGTCAAGACTGTCCAGGAAAGCACTGGTCTGTTTCACTTTATGAGGCTGCTTCTTAAAACAGCTCTCAATCTAGGCTGACCATGTAAATCAGATCAAGATGTGTAAAGGCAACTCTACCGGGGCCAATATGATGTGGTTCAGGGATCCAGCTCTCTACTGCTTTCTCTTTTTAGACATAATGATAGTTCTAGGGTCCCTGGAGGATGGATGGGCTCTATACTCCCTAACAGAAAGCTTCCTAGATACGACGGTTTCAGCTGAGCCCTTGCTGTGCGTTGGACAGTGGCCTGAGAAGGAATGGTGGGGGAGCCCAAGGGATGTCTTTGAAAAGAAACCTAGACCTGAGGTGTAAGTTTTCCTTTGGGACGAGTGAGCGGGGCAAGCAGTGACTCTCGGTGGGCAGCTGAGGGCAGAGCCTTGGGCCTACAGTACTTGCAGAACTGGCTTTGCCTTATGAGAGGCAGAGGGCCCTGACCAGCCACCGAACCTGGACAAGAAAGCTGAGTTGCTTGACAGGAACAAATCTGGAGTCTGCTCCTGTGCACAGAGGTGAGGTTTTGAAACAGCCAAAGTGGAGCCTCCAGGGCTGGGTTTTAGCCAAAGGAGGGCCCTGTGTCCTGATGTCTTCTGGAGAAGGAGTGCAAAGCTCCTATCCTAGAGCAAGGCTGCAGCCACTTAACCGGGGAAAACAAAAGCAGCTTTCCCAAACACCTACCTCAGCCATTTAAAACAACAACAACAAAGAAACCAAATCATAAATCATAGATAAGAAACTTTAGCCTCGAGCAATTAACTTTCTGATGAGGATGCCAAGAAAAACTAAGTATCTAACGCCTGGCGGCTGTGGCTCACACCTGTAATCCCAGGACTCTGGGAGGTTAAGGCAGGCGTTTCACAAGATCAGGAGTTTGAGACCAGCCTGGCCAACATGGGGAAACCTCGTCTCTACTAAAAATACAAAAATTAGCCCGGCATGGTGGTGCGCGTCTGTAGTCCCAGCTATTCAGGAGGCCGAGGCAGGGGAATTGCTTGAACCCAAGAGGCGGAGGTTGCAGTGAGCCAAGATTGCACCATTGTCCTCCAGCCCAGGTGACAAGAGCAAGACTCCATCTTAAAACAAAACCAAAAAACCAAAAACTAGTTATGTAACATAAACCTAGTAAGGGAATGAGGATATATGCTGTATGAATTTGTTAACTGTAAATTGGGCAAAAGTCTGTAGGCATATACAAAGCGTGAAGTCTGATATAAAGATCGTTGAACTGGGCAATATAGTGAGACCCCTGTCTCTACAAAAAAAATAAATTAGCTGGGCTGCTGGTGCACACCTGTAATCCCAGCTACTCAGGAGGCTGAAACAGGAGAGTTACTTGAAGCCGGGAGGTGGAGGTTGCAGTTGGCCAGGATTGTGCTACTGCACTCCAGCCTGGACAATGGAACAACTCTATCTCAAAAAAAAAAAAAAAAAATTAAACTATAGCCCTGTGCTATGTTACGTGTGTGGCATAACTCAGGACTCAGGAGCTGGGCAAGATTGCCTTCAGTTTGTGATGAGAGAGTCATGCTATCTTCCTGTTTTCCATAGTGGGGCTGAAATTCAGCTCATCCCTGAATGGTTTCCACTAGTTGAGATATACATGAAAAAGATCAAAGGGCTACCCTTCTAAATGTTTCCTCCCTTGGAAACTGCTACATGGTCTGCAAAGAGGCCATTGCTACTTGATTCCACTTCCTGCCGTGGGTGTGTCAGAGGACACGCTCTATGTGGGTGGCCTGCATGGAGTCCCTGCAGCTTAACTAGAGTGCAAAGCCACCCAATCAGAGGTAAGGGAAGAAAGGCCAAGTGCAGTGCAACGTCTTGCCTCCACTTCCAGGTGAGTGTCTGGGCTGTGTCTATATTTCTAATGCTGGCAGGTCAGGGTGGTATACCACCCTATGCACCAGAGACATCAAAGATTGCCCTTTGAAGGCAGTGAATCGACTTGGGCCAGCTAGTGATTCAGGGATGGGCAGAAAGAGAAACAATGGAAGTTGTTGGGGGTGGAGAGGCAGGTCTCAGATCATTTTAGGGAAACTGGATCACAGTGCAAGCTAAGCTGCTCAAAGCTCACAGGGAAGAGTCTAGAAGTTGTAGAGCAGGGTACTGAGTGGAGCCAAGTGCTAGGCAGAGGACACCAGCTAGCTGAGGGCTGGTGCTTGCTCCAGGCTCAGAGGAAAGAGGTCTGGGAACAGGAGAATGTGGAAGCTGGCTAGGCAGGAAATGGACTCGGAGTAACAGCCTGTCACAGCTAGATGAATGGGACACACTGGACCAAACTGGGGAAGGTGCTAAGTCTGGGCTATGGGTTTGAACTATGCAGGTCAAAATTAAAAAAAAAAAAAACATTAAGTCTGGGCTGGCACTTCCCCTGCCTGGACCCTAGGGTTTTCTGGAGACTCCTTCAGGAGGATTTAGTGGTTTTACATGAAGCAATACCCCAGAGGCCTAAGAAGGAATGTTTGGGGAGCTCAGAGCCTGTCTTTGAAAAGAAACCTAGAGGCGCCAGGTGCGGTGGCTCACGCCTGTAATCCCAGCACTTTGGGAGGCCAAGGTGGGTGGATAACCTGAGGTCGGGAGTTCAAGACCAACCTGACCAACATGGAGAAACCTTGTCTCTATTAAAATAAATAAATAAATAAAATAAAAAGAAAAGAAACCTAGAAGGCCAGGTGCAGTGGCTCATGCCTGTAATCCCAGCACTTTGGGAGGCTGAGGCAGGAGGATCACCTGAGGTTGGGAGTTTGAGACCAGCCTAACCAACATGGAGAAACCCCATCTCTACTAAAAATACAAAATTAGCCGGGTATGGTGGCTCATGCCTGTAATCCCAGCTACTTGGGAGCCTGAGGCAGGAGAATAGCTTTCACCCAAGAGGCAGAGGTTGCAGTGAGCTATCATGCCATTGCACTCCAACCTGGGCAACAAGAGTGAAACTCCATCTCAAAAAAAAAAAAAGGAAAAAGAAACCTAGAAATCCCACTGTCCCTCACTGGCTGGGGCACCATAGATTTCAGAGCAGAGAGGTGGCAAAGGGACAGGGGATATGTACAGGGAGGATGAAGGTAAGGATGTGGGCCCCACGTAGTAGACATGAGTACCACCTGGCAGGGCTGTGGGGTCCTATTCTCAGCTCCAGGGCATGACCGTCAGCCACTCTGGGTCCACAGAATCAGGGTCAGGTCACCTTTGGGGTAACTGGGGTGGAGGCAGGACCCCCTCCTGTTGCCAGGTCAGAGCTCTCCTGAGGCCGAGGATTCAAGGTCACCAAGGCAGGCAGGGAACATGGGTGCCAAGGACTTCAAATCTGTGACTCAGCAGCCGCCTCTCAGCCTGGAAAGAGGAACTCACAGGGCCTGCTGTGCCTGGTCCAAGGTGAAGGAGGGAGGCAGGCTGAGAGACGGAGTGCCAGTGCTTAATAATTCATGGCTTTTTCTATTTTCACAGGTGCTCGTGGCAGTGAGCAGAGGGAACAGTGAGAATTTAGGACCTTGCTTGTCCCCACGGCCGCCTTCCACCAGGACAGAGCACCAAAGTCAAACAGGATCTCTTCAGTCAAGCTTCTGGAAAGTGGAATCAGGGCCTGTCCTTGGGGCAGGAGGAAACAGACGGGAGGGGAGACCAGGTGGCTGGCTGAGAAAGCCGTTTCTGGGCCACTCACAGGCAACCAGGGAGCAGCTGTGTGGTAGAGAATTTGGGGGTTGGGAGATGCAATAGGCCTCTGACACCCAATATGGCTGGCCTTTGGCCCTGGTTCCGTCCCACCAGCCAGCTCTCCATGCCTGGCCCCTGGGGCACAGAGCAGGCCGGGCCCATGGGAATGCCTCAGTACCTGTGTCTGATGCTTCCTTCAGCCCCTCACTCCTTACTTTCCAGCCTTCTCGCCATCTCTCCATGACTTGGTTACAAGCATCCCTTCCTCCAAATGCCTCCTTCCCTCCCTCTCCTGGGGGGGAGTCTCCAGCTCAAAAGGGCCTTGGCATAAACCTTTCTGAGTCTCTGCTGTCCCTGTCGCTGGGCCTACAGCTGCAGAACCCCTCACACTCTGACACCATTGTGAGTTTGATCCTATTTCTGTCTCCTCTAATGGAATGTGGAGTCCTCTGAGGGCTGAGACTGTGTCCTCAGGCTCAGCATAGCACCTGGCCCACAGCAAACAAACAACCAGCTTTTGCTGGGAAGCTCCAGTTCCTTCTGAGACTGTCTCATTTCTGCTTTCCCTCCTGGTTCCTGGCCTTTGGCTGCCAGGCCAGGCCGACAGCTGCAGACCAGCAGGGCCAGAGAAGCAGGGGTCTGCAGGGCCCATCCCTCCCCCAGCAAAGGTGGAGTCTCAGATACCTTTCTTTCTCAAGAAGCTGCACATCTCTGCACATCTCCCACCCCTACGCCCTGGCTCCTTTTCCATATATGAGCCAGGAACAGTGCCAAAGGCTTCATTAGGGGTGCAGGAATTAAGTGAGACAGCAACAATATTAGCATCAGCCTCCCTGAAAACCGTCTTCTCAAGAACTCAGCTTCCAATCTTTCCTTCCAAGCCTGCCTCTTCCAGGAAGCCCTCACCACTGCCCATAATACTGTGCCACCCACCAGGTGCAGTGGCTCATGCTTGTAATCCCAGCACTTTGGGAGGCGAAGGCAAGCAGATCATTTGAGGTCAGGAGTTCGAGACCAGCCTGGTCAACATGGTGAAACCCTGTCTCTACTAAAAATACAAAAATTAGCCAGGCATGGTGACACATCCCTGTAGTCCAAGCTACTCAGGAGACTGAAGCAGGAGAATCGCTTGAACCCAGGAGGTGGAGGTTGCAGTGAGCCGAGATTGTACCATTACATTCCAGCCTGGGTGACAGAGCAAGACTCTGTCTCAAAACAAAAACAAAAACAAAAACAAAAATACTGTGCCACCTGCAGTTAGTTACAAGCCTGCCTCCTTCACCTGCAGGGTATACTTTCAGGGTCAGGGCTGTGACTATTCCCAGCTCCCAGGATGGTGCCTGGTACTTACGGGGAGCCTAATAGGTGTTCTGGAAAAATATAGTGCCCAGGATGGGAGCAGGCGTTGTCACAATGTGTGTGTGTGTGTGTGTGTGTGTGTGTGTGTGTTTGAGGGGGGCTGTATCTCATTCCAGGCAAAGGAGGCTGAGGCTAGAGTCCAGGGCACAGACCATGACAGGGTCTAGCCCAGCATCCCCAGTCCCACCCTGGTCCTCCTGAGGCTATGATTAACCCTGGTCCTGAGCACAAGGATAGAGCCTCATCTGCCAGCCAAGCTTGGCCCTGTGGGGAAGTAGGTCAGTGGCTGCAGGATCTGGGTAGCTGCTGCACATGAGGGCAAAGCCAGCCCTCTGGGGCCTTGTGGATGGAGACCAGGCTGTGGGCATACCACAGTAGGCCACAATGGCACAGACTGCAGCAGACCTGTGTCCACAACCCCCTAGCTTGCTGGAGACTGTGGGAAGGTCACTTCTCCCTGGACACATTTCTTCCCCACTTCCAGCTCTCACCATCCAAGAACGAGGCATCTTGGGGGAGGAGAGGGTAGTAACTCCACTCCAGCAGGCCTCCTCCTCCTTCCTGTCCCAACAGCCCCACCCCCACTCCCAATGATGTCACTTCAGCCACCTCATCACCAGCTTCTAACCCCCTTGCAGTCGCCCATTAGGCCCTCAGATGGCAGCTGTGGGCAGCGGAGGTGGATCCCTCTTTACTCTGTCCCTCATCTGGAACACTGGCCGGAATTCCCGAACCTTGACTCCCTCCAAACCAGGAGCCATTTGCAAGGGGACCGGGCAGGGGAGGGCTAGGCGACTCCTGACTCTCGAAGGCAGATGGAAGACTCGACTTTCTGCTTCTTCACCGGCAAGGACCCGGCACCACTTCTCCCTGAGTAGGAAGCAAGTTAGGGAAACTTTCCGGGAGTCTTAGAGCTTATAAATCCTGGCAGGGACTGGTGCTGCTGGCTTTGTCGTGAGATAACTTCCCTCTACACGCGCGCCACCCTCCCAGCAAAACATGACGAAGGAGCCACCTCCCGGCCTCCAAAGACTCCGAGCCAGTGCTCAGGCCCGTTAACAATACCAGGGGCGGCTGGGCAGTTGCTGCCTCCAGGACGGGGTGGGCGAGCTGGATGACGGATGCCCTGTCGTCTGGGAAAATAGGAAGAGTGCCCCCTGCCCCCGACTTTTGCAGGTCTCCACCCGTCCGGTCCGCGTCTTCTCGGGCAGCGCCCCCTCTCTCCACGTCCGGGTTCTCCAGACGCGTCGCTCCTCCAAGTCGGGCGCGCCGGGTCCAGCCCAGCCCCTCCCGGGGTGATAGCGCCCAACAATGGAGAAGCGGACAGGGGTCACCGGGCGCTCCCCGCCTTCCTGCCCCCGGAACCCCCGCACTCACCCTGCTCCAGATCCTGCTGGTCGTACCAGGGCTCCTCTTCCTCTGCGGAGAAGTCTTCCATCCCAGCGGCTCTCCGCATGGCCCGGCAGGCGGCTGGCGGGTGCTGCGGCGGCGCGGCTCAGGGCCGGGTCGTACGGCCCGGGACAATGCGGCGGAGGCGGGCCGGGCCTCCCGCGTAGGGGACTCGGGCTACAGCGCCCGCGCCGCGCCCCCTCGCCATCGGCCTCCAGCCGGGCGCCCACGCAGGGCCTGGCCGGTTGCCGCGGTCCGGCCCGGCTGGGAGCTGAGCCGGGGGCGCCGGGCGGGCGGCGGCGACACAAAGGGTGGAGGGGCGGGGACAGCTGGTGGGACGGTGGCAGGGAGGATCCGGGCCCGCAGGCGGGTATGGGGCGTTAGGAGCGCGCGGGTGCCGCGGGGGGCGCCCCCTGCCCGGCTTGAGTCCGCGCTGCCCCTGGCCCGCCGGGCGACACCCGGAGCCGCCGCTGCATCTCGGTGGAGCCCGCCTGCAGCTTGCGGAGCCCCGCTCCGCGGGGTGGGGCCGGCCGCCGCCAACCAATCAGGAGGCGTATGCAAAGATGGAGGCGGGGCCGAGGGCGGGACCCTCTTGTGTCCCGGTCTGGGAATTGCAAGATCAACCCTTTCGTCCTCCCGCCACTACCGATTCAGTTTACGTCTCTTGTCTGAAATTATGTTATTTTAGAAGTTGTCGTCTCCTAGATCTCTTGGGAGCAAGAATATTGTCTTTTTTTCACAGCTGGCTACTCAGCTCCTAGAGCAGGCTGCTCACCAGTCGGATGTGGTGCCTCACTCTTGTAATCCCAGCTCTTTGGGAGGCCGAGGTGGGTAGATTGCCCGAGGTCAGGAGTTTGAGACCAGCGGGGCCAACACGGCGAAACCCCGTCTCCACTAAAAATACAAAAGTTAGCCGGGCATGGTGGCGCATGCCTGTATTCCCTGGTACTCGGGAGGCTGAGGCAGGAGAATGGCTTGAACCCGAGAGGAGGAGGTTGCAGTAAGCCAAGATCACGCCATTGCACTCCAGCCTGGGGGACAGAGGGAGACTCCGTTTTCCAAACAAAAACAAACAACAGGCTGGTCATTGGTACATTGCATCGTCGTTCTTTGAATGAATAAAAATTTACAGTTGCCTTTGGGAACTTGAGTGTTTAAGTGCCTTTGACTGGAAACTACAGGCCTACAGTGGCAAAGTTTGAGGGTATTTTACCTGCATTCAAGGTTCTGTTTTCTTTTCCTTGGGACCCATATCCTATATCCAATTATATCCATTAAAACCATACATATTTGCATCTGTCCAAGCATTCTTTCCTTAGAGTAGTTTTAGTTTTCAGACTCAAGCATTCATGTAACTCATTTTTTTTTTTTTTTTTTTTTTTGAGACGGAGTTTCGCTCTTGTTACTCAGGCTGGAGTGCAATGGCGCAATCTTGGCTCACCGCAACCTCCGCCTCCTGGGTTCAGGCAATTCTCCTGCCTCAGCCTCCTGAGTAGCTGGGATTACAGGCACGGTCCACCATGCCCAGCTAATTTTTTGTATTTTTAGTAGAGACGGGGTTTCACCATGTTGACCAGGATGATCTCGATCTGTTGACCTCGTGATCCACCCGCCTCGGCCTTCCAAAGTGCTGGGATTACAGGCTTGAGCCACTGCGCCTGGCCTCATGTAACTCATTTTATTGGGACCCATAATGTGCTGGTGCTGTTGAGAATCTCGGAATAATGTTGTAATATATCCAACAAACAACCTGTATCCAGAATATAGAAAGAGCATCTACATAGTCATACCCATCCCAGTAGAAAAGTGGGTAAAAGATTTCATCAGGCAATTCACCAAAGAGGATATACAAATAATCCAATAAACATGCAACAAGGTAATCAACTTCTTTAGCCATTAGAAAAATGCAAATTAAAACCACAATGAGGTACCACTAACCAATCACCAGAGAGGTTTTAGGGAAAAAAAAAAAAAAAAGGCTGGCCACAATGGCTCACACCTGTAATCCCAGCACTTGGGGAGGCTGAGGCAGGTGGATCACGAGGTCAGGAGTTCAAGACCAGACTGGCCACATGGTGAAACCTTGTCTCTAAAAAATTTTTTTAAAAATAAAAAAAGAAAAAGAAAAGAAAACACAGGCCAGGCTTGGTGGTTCATGCCTATAATCTCAGCACTTTGTAGGGGCGTAGGGTGGGAGGATCACTTGAGTCTGGAGTTCAAGACCAGCCTGGACAACATAACAAGACCCTATCTCTACAAAATATTAAAAAATAAAAGTTAAGTGAGCATGGTGACACACTTCTAGTCCTAGCTACTTTGGGTGGCTGAGGTGGGAGAATCACTTGAGCCTAGGAGGTTGAGGTTTCAGGGAGCCATGATCATGCCATTGCACTGCAGCCTGGGTGACAGAGCAGGACGCTGTCTCAAAAAAAAAAAAAAACAAAAAAAACCCTAATGTTGGCAGGAACGTTGAGCAACTGGAACTCTCTCATCCAGTAGAAAAGTGGGTAAAAGATTTGATCAGGTAATTGACCAAAGAGGATATACAAAATAACACTGCTGGAGGGAGTACATAAGAGGACAACCACTTTAGAAAACTGCTTGACATGGCCAGGTGTGGCAGCTCACACCTATAATCCTAGCACTTTAGGAGGCCAAGGCGGGTGGATCAATTGAGGTCAGGAGTTCAAGATCATCCCAGCCAACACGGTGAAACCCTGTCTCTACTAAAAATACAAAATTAGCTGGGTGCGATGGCACATGCCTGTAGTCCAAGCTACTTGGGAGGCTGAGGCAGGAGAATCGCTTGAACCCAGGAGGCGGAAGTTGCAATGAGCTGAGATTGTGCCACTACACTCCAGCCTGGGCGACAGAGGGAGACTCCATGGAGGCGGGCCGGGGGGTTGAGGAAGAAAGAAAGAAAAAAAAACTGCTTGATAACCACGAAAGCTGAATAATGTAGGCTGTTGTAGATTGTTTTCCTAGGCAGCTGATCCTGAGATGGAGATTAGCATGCAGGAAGCTGATTAGTGTTATCCATCATATTGGATTAGAGAGGAAAAAAAAAGAGAGGAATTTGACTAGGAAGTGCTCTCAGATCAACACCTACAGGAAAGGGAGAGAAGCAGGGTTAGGGGGAGGGAGAACTGGGCTGGGATGTAGCCTCCGCAAAAGCCTCCTCTGATCCCTGAAGAACTTTGAATCTGGGGATACCCTTCAAAGCTATTGCAAGTATAAAGTAGGGGGCAGCTTTATATCTCCCACTCTTACATATCAACCAGTCATTGAATGACACAGGTCATCCCTAGGAGGCATGTGTGACCTTGGCCAAAGAAATGTTTCTTCAGCTGAGGCTAGTTTGCACAGAGGCCTGGCAGCTGGGACTGCCAGCCAGGGGTCCTCCCAGCAGCTGAGGGAATAAGTCCTTTCGTTTTGAAAGAGTTGGGGATGCATGACAGGCTGCCAGTGAGCATACCCTGTAACCCAGCAATTCTATTCCTATATATGTGCAACAGAAATATGTACATACATTATCTCATAAGAGCCCACACCGGAAGCCACACAGACGTCCATCAACGGTTGACGAAGCATATGTGGCATGTTCATGTAATGGAATATTATATAGTACAAATAAAATGATCTACTGTCATGGGCCTGGGTTAAAAAAAAAAAAATTGAGTGAAAGATGTCAGACACAAAGAGTAAATACCTGTATTTGTTTCTTCTTGCTTCTGTAACAAATGACCCCAAAGGTAATGGCTTGAAACAACACAAGTTTATTATTTTACAATTCCATAGAAGTCTGACAAGGATCACTGGCTAAAGTCAAAGCATTGGTAGACGTTGTGTTCTTACTGGAGGCTCCAGGAGAGGATCCGTTCCCTTGTCTTTTGCACCTTCTAGAGGCCACCCATATTCCTTGTCTTAGGGCCTCTTCATATTCAGAGCTAGCAACAGAGGGTGGAGTCCTTTTTCACATCCCATCACTCTGACCCCTCCCCCTCCCCTTTAGAAAGGACTCTTGTGATTAAACTGGGCACACTGAATAATCCAGGATCATCTCTCTGTCTCAATGTCCTTAACTTAATGACATCTGCAAAGTCTCTTATGTTGGGCGAGGTAACATATTCAGAGATTCTGGGGATTAGGATGCCGATATCTTTGGTGGGTCATGATTCTATCACAGCACCACATGATTCCATTTTATATAAAGTTCATGTGTCTGTAATCCCAGCTACTCAGAAGGGAGAGGCAAGAGGTCAGGAATTTGAGACCAGCCTGGGCAGCACAACCACCCTTTGTCTCTATAAAACATAAATAATAAATAAATAAAGTTCAGAACTGGCAAAATGAACCGAGATAGTATTTGGCTTTGGAAAGGTATGTAGAGAATTCTAAGCGGCTGGGAATCTTTTTCTAAAATTTTTTTAACTTTTTTTTTTTTTTTGAGATGGAGTCCCAGGCTGGAATGCTGTGTCATGATCATAGCTCACTGTAATCTCAAAGTCCTGGGCTCAAGTGATCCTCCTGCCTCAGCCTCCTGGATGACTGGGACTGCAGGCTTGTGCCACCATACCCAGTGAATTTTTTTCTTTTTTTTGCAATTGTAGCGAAATACACATAAGATTTATCATTTACCATTTAACTTTTTAATTAATTTATTTATTTTCAAATTAATTAATTAATTATTTTAAAGACAGGGTTTCACCATGTTGGTCAGGCTGGTCTTGAATTCCCGACCTCAGGTGATCCGCCCACCTTGGCCTCCAAAATGCTTGGATTACAGGCGTGAGCCACCACACCCGGCCTAATTTTTTTTTTGAGGCGGAGTTTCACTTGTTGCCCAGGCTGGATTGCACTGGTGGCCCGATGTCACCTCACCGCAACCTCCTGGGTTCAAGTGATTCTCCTGCCTCAACCTCTGGAATAGAG